CATTAATTGGCACATCGGACCCAAATTATCTGACTGTATTATTTGTGAAAATCTGATCAGTGAACCATGATTAGTTTAGATGATAGTGTTCTAGCTGAAGCTATAAATAGCAGTGATGTGAGTCTTTAGCTCAGAACTGTTAATGTTTTTGTATCCAGGCTCTACACATTTCAGATCAATCCAGGGTGAGTGCAAGAGCGGCTCTGTGTGATATTGCTATTAGAGGATCAATGCACTTGATTTGGCAGGAATTCTAAACACTGCATCAATAAAATCCTTAAAAGGTGATTCATAAACAAATCATCCTCTGTTAATGACTCAAACTGGTGGGGCCTGTATGTAGGCCAGTGCTCGTTATCAGTAAGTACATACCTTACATATTATTTCACAGTAGTCACGCAGTAATTCATAGTACTTACCGGATAATAAGTCTAAAGGGAGTTGATCAGTCAAGACATATTTGGTATCCAAAGTTTTCTTCTTTAGTTTTTACAAGGCTAATATAACTAGTAATGGAAACTTATAGCTAAAATCAGTAGTAGCAGCCTAATCTTGAAGCCTGAGTTTTGTCTATATTTTTGTCCATTTTACAGATGTCAGAAACTAAATAAGCAAATCTGTTAGAGATTTAGAAGTTAATAACTCAACATGATTTGAGGCAAGTGTGTGATGATTTAGACCATTAGCACAATGTTAACGGGTGGCTTCCATTACTTGTTAGCATTGTGGAACCCTCAAGGCCTCCAAGGTCATAAGAGAAGGTCTGATGACTTCTGTAAAATGAAGAATTACATGTAATTACATGTACATGTAATACTGTAATTTAGTTCATTTTGTTAAATCTGTGTTACATTTGAATTCTTCATGTATCCTATTTCAATGTTAAGCTTTGGTTGAAAACTAAGCAACCAATCACATATCGATTTCCCATGTTTGGCACCAATTTTGTGAGAAAAACATCACTTCAAGCTTTCTGGAAGTCCTAGATATGTCACTGACTGTGAGTATGGGGGGTAGCCTGGACAGTGCGTTTCAGTCAGATTGTAGAAATGAAAACAGTAGCTCTGTGCCAAGGCTTTTTACTGAAAGTACTGTGGAAAGCTGTAAAACATGTCTATTCAGAAGGTGGAGAAGTGAACCCCCATTAGTTTAACTAGAATCCTATAGGGGCTCTAGCAGAAATTAGCATTAACATGGAGGTGTTTTTTTCATTTTGATATTTGTGGCCTGAATTGGAGGCCTAGCTCTAACAGTCATGGTTGACTTGTTAGCTTGTTAATTCTGTCCCTTGTAGCTCCAGTGCAGAACTAAAGAAACATACTTCAGACACCAAACCTGTCTTGGCTGATTGGTTACATTTAGCATGTGGAGAAAATTGGGTAAATTAGATTTGTTTGGCTAAACCTTTGTTTTAAGATTATCAACTGAATCATAACCTTGCAGTTTAAGGAGTTAAATCATATTCTGACTGAGTAGTCGATGTGTTTATGGTGCGTCATTGGCTTCGCTACTCGCTACGGATGCCTGCTTCAGCTAAAGAGTACAGTGGGCTGTTGCATAAGTACACAAGGCTTGCTAACTGTGCCTATGTGTTGAGCAGCAGTAGCAGCAGGCCTGTTTGTGTTTGCTGAGAGAAATCAGCCTCCGGTCCCAAATTAGAGCACAGCCTGGGGGCTCGGCATCGCTGGTGATAAAGCATATCCACACACACACACACACACACACACACCGAAGTGTTAGAGCACACAGGGCGTAGGAGTGAGCTGAATATTGGGGAAGACGTATGCTGGGCGGTTTGAGTCCTTGCCCTTTCGAAAGCAGCCCTTAAAGAAATACTCCAGTGCTTTTCAGCCTAATCTCTGTCATGTGGTCAGTTACCATGGACAATAACTTTAATGCATTTTTTTGTATTTAGGAGAGAACTGAAAACCAAATGACCCAAAATTAATTTATGATGAAAGCCAATAGGTAGGTGCACCAGCCCACTGGCTTATATTACACAAAGCTCAATTCCAAAATCATTAAGACAGTATATGAAATGCAAAAAAAGGAGAAAGAAAGAAAGCAGTGATAAACCCACTTTGACCTGTATTTAGACTGACCTGTATTTAGATAAGATGTTTAAGGTTTTACTTTTGCAACTTCATTGTTTTTTGTAAATATATGGTGCTTCTGAAAGTGAAATGTGTACTGTGGGCTGATGAGTCAAACTTTCAGCTTGTTTATGGAAATACTGGACATCATGTTCTCCATGCCAAAGAAGAAACAGACCATCCAGATTGTTACCAGTGTAAAGTTTAAAAGCCAGAGTCTGTCACTGTGTGGAGGTGTATAAATGTCAGTGGTGTGGGTAACTTCCACATTTCCACAGTTTGTGCTGAAAGATATATACATATTTTGGAGCAACATATGCTAACTTCTGGATGATGTCTTTTTTTTAGAAATGACACTTTCAGAACTGGATCAGTTGGTGTCTTCAGTTCCCAAACAATTATTAAGTGCTGTTAAAAGGGAATGTAATGTAACACAGTGGTAAACATGCTTCTGTCCCAACTTTTTTGGAATGTGTTGCAGGCATCCAATTTGAAATGAGCATATATTTACAGAAAAAAACAATAGAGTTCATAAGGTAAAACATAAAATGTGTTTTTATAGTATTTAAAATTGTATTCAGATCAAACAGAATTTACTAATCACTTTTTTCTGTTTTTTCTGAGCTTTGGAATTAACGTTTGTAAGCAAGTTTTAAATAAGATTTTTCTGTTTATTTGGTAAGTCCAGGGAAATTACTGACCATCTAGCATCTAAAGATTAGAGTGTTTCTTTAAAGCCTCATTTTAGTGCCCTCTACAGTGGAGATAAGTTACCCATCTAAGGAGGGGTAATTAATTTGGCAGTTTTGCATCAGTAAGTGCACTGTTAGCACTTTACACACCCACACATACCAACACTTAAGCATATACCTGAGCAAGCGTCACTTTCACAATAAATCAGCGAGTAACGCCCTGCTCCTGTTCTCTCACTGCCGTCCTCTCTGTTGCCTCTTTGCCCCGTCTCTGCCTCCTGAGAGACTGAAAGTAGATCAGAGGTGTGTGAAGGGAGACAGGGAGGAGTGAGAATGAGTAAACTAGGACAGTGAAGGCAGAGAGGGAGAGAAAAGAGAGAGAAAGAGCACAGAGGACAGGACTGTTCCCATTAGCGCTTCTTCATCCTCTGCTGCAGCATCTCTCGTTGGATCTGTGTTTTACTGTCTGACCTCAGCACCTGCAGTAATTGTTATTAGGACATTTCTATGAAGCTAGTGAGGCTCTGATCAACCCATAGAAGATGAGAGTTATTACTTTTGTATTGATATAATATTGAAATTGAATACAGGACTGTGCAAAACTCAGAGACCTTCATTTATTAATATGCAGTCAAAATGGCCATAATGTACAGGTAGAACATAGAAAACGTACAGAAAATTACACAGAAGCCTCAACAATTAAATATGCTCAAACATTTGTTTCAAGAGTTAAGGGGCAAAAAATTGACCTTTGCTGTTGTTGAGGGCTTGTAAATATAAAAATTGTTTACCATTTAAAAACATTTTCTATGTCTTTGTTAAGTCAGTTATTTCTTCACTAATTTGTATGAGTGCCGTCACCGGACGACTACATACCACTAGTCCTCCTCAGTATTTTCCAGAGGGCCACTGAAGGGTGCTCTTGTGGGCACTTGTGGTCCACGGTCCAGTGGTTGAGAAACCCTCTTTTAGTACAAATTTAATTATTTTTTTAACTTTCTTTTCTCAGTAAGGTTTCTTCTCTCTCTCAAAGATGAAAGCTTTTAGTGCTGTTTATCTGATGGGGACAGTTTTGGTGGTCTACTAGGTTTTGCAGGTGGGTTGAGTCCCATTTTCTATGAATCTTTTAATCATTTTTTTAACAGTTTTAGAATTATGCTTTTCTCAATTATTTTGCTTTGACTTTCTGCCTCCTTGTTCAAGTGGATTATTGTATATCTACATCTTTTGGGGAAAAAAAATACCTGTACTTAGTGGCCATTTTGCCTGGAAATTAAAGAATAAAGTAATAAAGTATATAATAAAAAATAAATAAAGTGTGGTGTGACTTTTGCACAGTACTGTAATTACATATACAATTACATATTAAAATATGCAGTGAATTACATTTGCATTTAATTTACACTCAATATCAACAAGTTAAGTTCTGTGCTACTGAGAAATGGCAAACATGTAAAGGATTTATTTTTCTGTCCACAAAATAAGACTATACACTCAACGGCAATTTTTCCATGCTACACGCTTTGGCCCCTGCTCTGTGAGTTTATGTGGGCTAACGATTTTGTGGCTGAGCTGTTGTTACTTACACACTGCCGTTTCACAGTAATAACTCTTATAATTGACCAAGGCAGATCTAGCAGGGAAGAAATTTCACAAACTGACTTAGGCAAGAGTGGCATTCTGTGACAGCGCCACATTTAATTTATTTTAGGTTGAATTTGAATTAAGACACCTGCCAACAATAGGTGTAACTATAAAACCTGAACTCAATAATTAGGAGGGTCCACATACTTTTGGCCATATAGTGTAAGTTTATAAGCAAATTGTTCCTTGTTGAATCTTGTACCCAAATATGTGGAGCGCTTCCTGGAGCCTGTTCACTTACGACTTAATGAACCCCTACTAACCCAAAACACCTGTGATTAGGCTTGTACAATTTGCTACTTCTTTAATTACAGCCTTTTGCTTTATAGAAAACATGTGTCCTAATAACACTAGAGAAAAATGTTTTAATTCTGTGGTTTTCCTGTCACTGCTAGTGCAAAAGAAGGCCTTTGTTTAGTGGGCTGCAGCACTAGAGCATCTGGGCTAATGAAATGCAATAACGGGTCTGTTTTTCATTACGGCCTGCTGCTGGGGAATGTGATTGTGTGGCGTAACGGCCCTCAGAGCAGCAGGCTCTGTCCCTAATCAACAATTCCTCTTTTTATTACAGGAGACTAATGAAATCGTGGCCATTAAGAAGTTCAAGGACAGCGAAGGTAAGATGCTCCTGGAGTTACGCTAACACAGAATAAAAGCCCAAGTGAATCAGAGCCGTCTCACCTAAATAGGAAATGCTTTTTAATCACATTTCTGCAGGCACTGGCGTCCCATTCTGCGCCTCTACACTTAACACTACCTGCTTGTTTTGTGCTCCCGAAGGAATTTATCCTTCATGCAAGGCTTCAAAGACGTCTTCAGTCCCTGTGGCACCAGGCCTTTTGTAATATTTACCAGCTCTTTAATGTCTTACACCTACTCCTGCTTTGTAATACACCATATTGTGACTGTCATCTCTAATAAAGCTGTATTAAGTTTGCTGCAAAGTCCCATATAACTTTCTCACTGTTAGTCATATGACCAGTCACATGACTCAGAAATAAGAGGTAGAGTCAGAGCCAGTTTAAGGAGAGTCTGGCTTCTTTCTATGTGTGCCATTACTAAAAAACGACTGCAGAACACTAGTGGGCACTCATGAGTGAGTCCTCAGTGAATGGCTGAAAATGAAAAATTAAACTTGTTTCTAGCCAGGAACTTTCTTTAATTTTGGAAACTAGAAAGATGTATTCAAATACATCCTTACATCCAAATTATCTAGTAAATTATCATATCCAGCATAAACATTTCCCACTTTAGAGATTCCTTTTAGCTTTCCATACCTAGTTGTCCTAAGTATTATTCGTTTTTTATTAATAGATAAATGTGCTATGACAAAATTCCATGTCCTAGACTTTCTCTAGAAAGCAGTCTGTAGAATTAAAACCTTTTTCAATGTGTATTTTATTTAAAATGTGGGGCTACTAGAGTTACATTTGAAGGGGAATTCCACCAATTTCTCTATATTTCTGTGTAATTCAGTTGTTGAGATGTGAAGAACATTATTCAGAGTGGTTTGATGTGAAATTGTTCATTGTAAAGGAACTTGGCAACTTTCTTTACAGTGGTGATGATAGGACCTATGGGTCGTTATGTGTTTGCAAACATTTTATTTAAAATGACCAGTGAATTTACACATCTTCTGAGTTTTTATATGTAATGTTGATGAAGGTAAAATAGTGATAAATCAAAGTTTCCTTTCAGTACTATTTGTACTTACAGCACACTGAATGTATGTCTCCACCATAAATATATTTTAAAAAAATAAATTTTAGACTACTATGCATCTGTATCTCAGGCATCAACCAGCATATTCATAACCATCTCATGGAATGGCTTTTTTGTGACTTAGCTTTTAGAGGCAATAAATCGACTCTCACCACGGCTGTGAACTATTGTATTCTGAGATTCAGTAGGTTTCTCTACAATAGGGCATCAAACCACTCTGAATGTCTGAATGTCTAATGATTTTATTATGCAGAAATTTTGAAAAATCAGTGGAAATCCTCTTTAAGAAATATGTAGTGACATCTACATTTAACAGCATAGCTTAAAACCTGTTTCGTATTTTCATTATGTATCATTAGCTAACTTCTTGTTGCTGGTTAGGCCCCAGTTTTGTTTTTCTGGCTAATGATTGTAGCTTCCTAACACATCTAGCTAGCTAGTAATTATATCTCCCATGCTATTAGTAACTCAGCCAACAATAGTGCTATGATATCTATATTATGGTTGTTTCTTCCTATGATTGACCTGCCCATGATTATGTTATGACAAACAGTAGCCATTAACCCAGAACCCAGATCTTATTCCAGCAAGATGTGAACCAAATCAGAATTGACTCTGTGCCTGTAAAGTGATTGTGTGAATTTAACACAGGGGTAGTAGTGCTGCAGGATGTAGTTCAAACCCAAGCTCAAGACCCCTGCATCTGATATGCAGACCCTACTGTGTAGTTCAGTTATCTGCAGTATGTGTATTGTTTATGACCTGTTTCAAGCTTTAAAGCAATAGTTTTTCCCCTTACCACAAATGTAGTTAATCAGCCAAGATTGTTTGCTGCTTTATTTTTGCACTGGAGCTGTGAAACTAATGAAGCTAACAAGTAATGCTTAAAGCCAGCAGTTAGCGTTGTGCAAACTGCATGCCTAAATCATTACACATTTGCCTCAAACTGTGTTGAGTTGTTAAGTAATATTAAATAGACTTGCTTATGCCATTTCTGACACTATATGACACAGTGTTATCTGTAAAAAGTGTCACATAGCTAGTAGTAGTAACCATCTTGAAGCCTGAGTTTACCTCTTAGCTTATTTGATACTAATTGCATGTCCACTCCCTGTACAGAGAATGAGGAGGTGAAGGAAACGACGCTGCGGGAGCTGAAGATGCTCCGCACGCTGAAGCAGGAGAACATCGTGGAGCTGAAGGAGGCGTTCCGGCGCCGGGGGAAACTCTACCTGGTGTTTGAGTATGTGGAAAAGGTACACATAAGCAACCAGCCCAGAGCAAAATCCACCTTCTCCTTGAATTTTACTAAAATATGTCCATTATATACAGTACTGTGCAAGTGAGACCAACATTTGTTTATTTGATTTTCAGTCAAAATGGCCATTCAGAACAAGTCATTCATTATTGTGAGATTAGATATAAGATAATCCACTTGCATAAGAAAGGGGAAAGTCTAAGGAAAATTAGTCAAAAAGAGGAGTTTCCAATCCTGGGCCTTAAAACTGATTAAAAGATGGACAGAAACGACAATGGCACTCCTAACAACGACCTGGTAGATCACCAAAACTGTCTCCACCAGATAAACGTGCACACTTCAAAATGATGGTTCTTCAGGGGTTCTTTAGTAAAGAAAACGGTTCTGTATAGAACCATGAACACTTAAAGATCCCTTTCCATGATTAAACGGTTCTTTGCATCGTGAAAGGGTTCTTGTGTTGTTATGATGCCAAGCTTGCTACAATAGAAGAACTGTTTTTGGTGCTATATAGAACCCTTTTCTAAAAGTTTCTATATAGAACCATCAACAGCACATTCTCTGTCAATCTGAAGAACCCTTGGATGATGCAAAGAACGCTTTAATCATGCAAAGCCTTTAAAGAACTATCATTTTTAAGTGTGCACTTAAAGCTTTCATCTCTGAGAGAGAGGAGAAAATCAAGCTCCACTCTTACTTCAGATCTGAAAAAATACAGTGGTATTTCTGTCCATCCTTCCACTGTGAGAAGACGACTCAACACTATGAGTCCGAAAGAATGTGTAGCTGTCAAGAAGCTCTTACTGAGAAAAGGAAATAGACAAAAAAGAAGAAAATTTGCAAATCAAATGAATAAACTAATGATGTTCTCAGAAAAATAGATCCAGACTATAGTATCGTTAAATGAGGTTATTGAATCAGGACAGGCAAAAAATGAAACCAACGTCTGAGACTGAACTTTGGAGGTTTGGAAAAATATTCCTGCAGATTTCTTTGAAAAACTGAAAGCAGGTCTTCTGTAAAGAATGGAAGAAAATAGTAGCTGTAGTAAGGGCTAAAGATGGACACACTAAATGCTAAAAAATATGATAGTTGCTGAGGCCTCTGTGTAGCTTTCTGTTAAATAAATCTTTCTGCTTAAACTTTGTCTTAATGGCCATTTTGACCTGAATTTACACTATATAAATGAAGTGTGATCTCTGACTTTTGCACAATACTGTATGTTTTAGACAAGGGCAAAGCATTAGATAGCATGCACTGGACACACGTGAAGGAATGTTTTGTGAAAGCATAAGTTAACAAACACAGGAAGCTTTGTGACCCACTTTAGTTCACATATAAACAGCAGTCTGCTGGGTGGAATGTTTTAGTTAATGTACACCGGAATCTCCAATGTGAAAGCAAAAGTTAACAGCAAGGGAAATCACCCAGACTAAGATATGAAGCAGCTGACAGACAAAGGTTACACACATACAGATAACAGACACAAATGAGAATATATGACATATTCGGAAAGCCATTTGGTGACACTCTTTTGTTAATACAAACATAGGAAGCCGTATTACAGAAACGTCGTAACTCTGAATTTAAGACAGAAGCTAGTACAGAATAACAGTTCTTAAGTTTATAATCTCATCCATTACCTCCAGATACGAAAACAGTATTACAGAAATATCCTAACTCAACAAAATTTCCTAAACACTGTCCTAACTTTAGGACAAGCTCAAAGGTGTCCTAACATCTGGTTTAACTGTCTGTTTCTATCGTTTTATGCAGTTACAGGCAGCATTATCCACTATAACTAGCGTAATAACGTTACATTTATCTACATTGCAAAAAAGTAGCTTCACTCATGAGTTTTTTCCAGACAATCTCCCCTTACCTGCATGTGTTAATGTTGGCAAAATGTTTTTTTTTTTCCAATTTTCTCCCCAATTTAGATATATCCAGTTCCTCTCACTAGTTAGGACTCCCCCAGTTACACAATACCACCAGCACTAGGAGGGTGAAAGCTAGCACAGGCTTCCTCTGAGACCTGTGAAGCGCCACTCCATTTTTTAGAACTGCCAGTAACACAGCCTCATTGGATAGCTGAATGTGCTTGGAGGAAAGCCCCAACCGCCAGTTCTGTAACGTCAGCTAACAGACGCCTGCACTGACTAGCATCACGCTGAGTGTTGAGGGGAGTTGGGGGGCCATCCTACCCACCCAGAGAGAGCGAGGCCAACTGTGCTCTCTTGGACTCCCGGCCACTGATGGCTGTAGCATCACCAGGGACTTATGATCTCTGGTTGGTCATCTCGAGAGCCCCTGACTCACATTTGTAACATTATTTTGATTACGTGTTTCAGCTGTGCACGTAATGTCGGTTGCTTGTTGTTGAGTAGTTTAAAATGTCCTAACATGAGATTTGATGCTGTTAAATAAGATAAACTTCCTAAATTAAGATTTGCTATAAACTTGTGTAAAGCTTATCTTGACCTGTCAGATCTCAGTTTAAGACAAGAAGATAGGAAGTTTCTGTAATACCACTCTGGCTCCTTTCATCAGTTAATCTGTTCCCATAATGCCGTACATACTGGACAGTAAGGCAGAGCAGACAGCCTAATGTGCCTAATGTGGAAAAAATTATTAGTTAAACAGGTTCAAATAGAATGTGCTTTTGTTTATCTTATCATATTCCCATAGTAATGTCATCTGCAAATTTTGTCACTATTAGAACAGAGCATTTTTTGTCATATCATGTTTTTTTTGTATACAGAATTGTGTGTATATGTGACAGAATTCACACCTTTATTATTATATTCACTCTCCGGTATGAGAGCCAGCCAGGTTTATATATAGCCTCCGCATGGTGGGGTTAGTTTGAGCAAAGTGTTAAGCTGCACTCACACTAAACAGTAATTCACAAAATTGAACATAGTTATGCCAGGTAATTATACTCATGGGAGAACAGTGCCTCACTGTGTCGTACCAAAAAAAAAAAAATTAAGGTAACTAGCATGGTTGGCGGGAGTGGGGTGAGTTGGGTGCAGCTACAGTTAGCCAATGAGCTAACATTGCCTTTAGCAAGCTGGCTAACTTACCTCACATCATCAGCATTACAAACACAAAAGTAAATGAAATTTTATCAGATAACTATATTTTCACCACAGCACTGATCAATTCTACACACTGATATATTTGCTTGTATCAAAGATATATATGCAATATGTGTGATGTTTTAAAATACATATACTTACACATATTTAACAGTACTATTTTTTTAATGTTTAAATGAATGCCAATACATGCACATAGAATGGCAGTATGTTGAAATATATGCACATATGTTGATGAAATTTACTGTGTTGGTTTTGAATATTCACATATATGGCAAACTTAAATGGAAATGTATTGCAACAGATGGACTACAGTCTGGTCTGTAATTGTAGAACTACAAAGTGCACCTATATAGTAGATGGAGCTGATAAAATGGACAATGAGCGTAGAAACAAGAAGGTGGTCATAATGTTATGCATGATCGTCATATATACACATATATATATATATATATATATATATATATATATATATATATATATATATGATATTTGGAAAGTTTTTCTACTTCAGACAACATAGAATTTCATTGAATTAACTGTGTTTTGTAACTGTTACAACTAACTGCTCCATCTGTTACTGTTAACCTGTTACAACATTGCAATTAACGTTTGCATATTAATGTTTATCAAATATTTTTCATTTTAAGTTTCCTGATAGTTTTGCACTTTTATCTTGCTTCAACAAAGTGACACTAAACTTCATCAAACTAATTGTTTTACAGCTAAAAATATATACACTAAATATGTAACTATACCAAAGACTGTCATGCTGACACGAAGTAGGATATGTTTTAAGGAAAAGTTGCTGCCTTGGAGATACATGACAGGACGGGAGTGAATAGTTAATGAGCAGATGTTCATAATTCATCATCTGCCTGATGAAGTTATCTCAGTTCAACTTGACTTGGTCAGTGTTTTATTCACTTTATTTGGTTAAGGCTTTTCTTTTTCCTAAAGAGGTTTCTTTTTGCTCACGCTGGTGTAGAACATGCTGGAGCTGCTGGAAGAGCTACCTAACGGAGCGCCGCCTGACAAAGTGCGAAACTACATCTACCAGCTAATCAAAGCCATCCACTGGTGCCATAAGAATGACATCGTGCACAGGGGTAAGAGACTCACTAGGCATGTGGAAATGGATCATTGCCTCCTTGTTAGCCTATCAAAGGGCCTAAAGGTCAGAAGCATGTATCATTGAAGCACACAATACAGAGGCACAGAAATAATTGAGAACTTTTGCTGTTGTGCTTTAAAGCAGTGTAAGAAGAAAAATTTGTTAGTGATGAGTATGTGAGTGAGTGAGTGAGTGAGTGAGTGAGTTACTGAGTTAGTGAGTTAGTGAGCGAGTGAGTGAGTAATACCAGAAAATTACTGAGCAAATATTGAAGTCAACCACTGAAATACTACTTGAGTAAAAGTTGTAAGTATAGGTAAATATCATAAATATACTTCAAATTTAAATATACAGCCACACAACCCTCTATGTCAGAGGTGGGGAGCTCTGGTCCTGGAGGGTCAGACTTTTGCACGGTTTTGTGATTTACATGTTCAGACACTCCTGATTCAACCCTGGCCAGGACACAAAGAGAGCATAATTGGCACTCGCTTTCCCCCATTGACTGAGCACAATGCTAGCCAATATGGCTTTGTTCAGACTGCAGGCAAATCGGATTTGTTTCTCAAATCAGATCTTTTGAGACGACTGTCCACACTGTTATTTGCAAGTGATCCGATCGGATTTGTGTGTCCAGACATTACCGATCTATGGGAATGGTTGCTGTGGTAACGACATAGGCATCAGTAACTACGTAGCTATGCTGGTGGCGCAGATTTCAAGCGCGAATGCAGGAGAGATGGAGGTGCATCATCTCACCCTCCAAACTCTTCAGAATTCTCTGGCATAAACATGAATTTGGCACTCTTCTTGAATCCCAGCACTTCCGTCACTCTGGATTTGATGTCATTGTTTATCACGGAGTGAGTCACGCAAAAGACACTTTGAAATCCAATTTGAATGGCCAGAGCATCCAGAATGAGACGCATCTGTAAAAATCCAATTGGAATCGCGTTTCAAACCACCTCCAAATGTGGTTTTGATCCAATTTGCGAAAATGGAATTTAATGTGGTTTTCCGCTGCCCAGACTATCAAAAATCAATCTGGATACGTGAAAGTTCAGTTTTGGGCTGGCAGTCTAAACTAAGGGTGTCTGTTAGCTGACAGAGCGGAATTGGCAGTTCTCTAAAAAACTTTACAGTAAATAAATACTGCAAATGAAGAAACTATAAATAAATAAATAAATACATAAACAAATGGATAGAATAAATGTAATATAATAATAGTATAAGTAAATATTAGTCAGCTAAAATGCCTGCTCCTCAGACCTTTTGGTATCTCAGTAGCTAACACTAGCTAATTTTATTTCACTTATCACTTTATAGCTTCAGCTGGTCTGACTGACGAGTGACTAGCAAATTATTAATTAGCATGCTAACTTCATATCAGTAACCAGCATTATCAGTGTTAACTAACATTAAAATAGGCTAGTTAGTTATCTAGCTAGTAACACTACTGATTTACCCTGCTTTACATTTTTGAATGAAAGCTGAACACTGTCTCCATGGTTGTCGATGGATGATCAGGGTCAGTAAGGACAGTGGTTGTTTCATTTATTTTTCTCTGTAGCTGACGATCTAGGAGATGCTGGTGCACTAAAATTACAGGGCCTGCTTGGTTTTTGAGTGTGAGCAGTTCTATGCTCTGTGGTGCACAAAGAAGATCCTCTCTCAACATTTTGATAGATTTGTACTTCCTTCATTATTTTCAAATAATATTACTTTTGCTTAAACTCAAATATGTGAGGAATGGAATATACTTTTCCTATACTGTTTCCTTTGTTGTGTTTCATTTCATTCTGTTATGTTGGTTCAGCATATGTACTGTTTTGTGACTGGTTACACCTCTGACTTTTGACGTTTACCATTTGTTTTGGACCAAAAGAGCATTAAAAAGAGAAGAAAAGAGAAGAGTAGACATCTGCTCTTATGCTGATATATGTACAGCCAAGTTCCACTACAGTTCTGTTAGTCATTCAGTGTCTAGACAAAAGTATTCTTTTGTCTTCTACTCTTGTACTTCTTCAAAACTTGTTTTAGCAAAGGTGTCTTTACTAGTTATAATTTCACAGAAGGGGCGGCACTGTGCTGCAGTGGGTAGCACTGTCACCTCACAGCAAGAAGGACCTAGGTTTGATTCCCAGCCGGGCGACCAGGGTCCTTTCTGTGGGGAGAGCATGCAAACTCCAGACAGAAAGGACCCTGGTCGCCTGGGCGGGGGATCGAACTCAGGCCCTGGGTTGTCTGCGTGGGTTTCCTCCTGGTACTCTGGTTTCCTCCCACAGTCCAAAGACATGCAGTTAGGTGAATTGGAGATGCTAAATTGCACCCAGGTGTGAGTGTGAATGTATGGGTGTCTCAAAACCTAGTGAGCTCTCTAAGTAGCCACTGTCTACATAGGCAGCTGTCTATGTAGGCAGCGTTCCAACCGTCATCTATCCCTATAAGGCACATAAATGAGACGCTCTAGTTAGACAGCAGTGACGTCGCCGCTTGTTCCCGCCCACTGCACGAGACCGGCATTTACTTACTTCAGCTGTCAGAATCACAGTTAGCCAACATGGATCCCACTCTGGCTCTGGCGTTTTATATATCGATTTTAATTGTATTTGCTCTGAATGAAACAGCAAAATAGACAATAGTTGTTGTCAAACGCGGAAAGTATAGGCTATTTGTGCACCTTTATGACTAGAAAACAGATAAATACCCCTGAAAATCAGAATAACTTACATTTGAAGATGACGTCACTGCTGGTGAAGCGCTTCTGCCCGCCATCTTCAAACAAAAGTTGCGCCGCGCTGCATCGTGGGATTGCCTCAGCGGCTGAGGAAACATCCAATGCTCTCTCAATATTCAACCAAAATGAGAGACCTCAGTAGGCAGCATATTTGAGATATGTAAGAATTGGGACAGCCTTCTTGTCGGGAGCGCACATATTGTGACGTAAAATGCTGTCTATGTAGAGAGCTCAGTAGGTTTTGAGACACACCCTATATGTGTGTGTCTGCCCTGTGATGGACTGTTGATCTGTCCAGGGTGTTTCCTGCCTTCCGCCCAATGACTGCTCGGATAGGCTCCAGTGACACCTGTGGTCAGAGAAAAGTTATATACTTGGTTCAGAAAAGTAGCTAAATAAAAGTTGTGACAAGTATAAAAACACAAAAACTAGTTTCTGATTTTTACAAGTTTTTGATTTTTAGTCATCATAAGCCTCAGCCAGTGCCACTCACAGCTTTAGTTACTAACTCGGGAAGGTGAGGGCTAATTCACTCCACAGATAGAGGAACTACACTGGCCTTGTGTACTCATATATACTAGGCCACGACTGTGGCAAGTCTACAGTTGTACAAAGAGTGTCTGAACTGTTTGAGCTACTCACCCACTCCTTCTCTTACGTTACATACTTAATACACCTCTGCCAGAAAGCCAGTGCTGTTTAAGAGGGAGCACTTTTCTGAGGTCTGTTAAAGTGAACCTTTACTGCCAGCTCTGAGCTACATACTGCATGTGCCACAAACCTGGTGAATGCAAACAAACATCCGAGTGTAGCTGGACAACCAGCTGTTAACAATTATAAAAATATAAACAATAAATCAAAAAAATGCTAGATGACCTAACAAAAAAGGCATTAATAACTTTACATCATGTGTTTTATTTTACTTCAGGAGGCAGCTAAATAGAGCCTGGTCTTAACTAGGCCAGTGGTGGTGGAGCTGCTGACTGAGGCCACTGCCCCACTTGTTAACAGGCTGAATGAGCTCTCAAATGCAATGGCTACTGTTTCCTTTGGGTGCCTTAATGTGTCCTTGCTCGCAGGAAGGAGGACAGAGGAAATATTATATATAGCATTATCAGAAATGTTACTTTCCCATGCCTGCAGAAACATGCACTCAAGACATGTAAATGTAAAGACTTACACAGCCCCTCAGACGTTTGGAATAAAATTAATAGGAAGCAATAAAAATAAAAAATACATTGTAGATGTGTTAAGGAAGAGAAATAGAGGTGTACATTATTTTAAATTCAATGCGTGAAGTAGTAAAATTATCCAAAATGCAAATTTCAAGGGTAGCAAACATTTCTGAGAACATATAATATGAACATGAGCGTCTTATTGAGCCTGTAATTATTATTTTTGCATAGTGTTAGTCACATTTTTTATTGAGAGATGCTTTGATAGTTAATTGATTGTTGACTCCCTGGTGGGGTTAAGGTCAGGATTAAGTTTAGTTTTTGAGGTGAAGTTTAGGTTTAGGGTTAGATTTAAACAGCTACATTCAAATTCAGTTACATTTAACAGATATTTAGTTGAATGTTAGTTAAGGATAAGGTGACCATCTACAAAGCACCTACAGTGGTCTAATCTCTAATGAAACATTAGCATAATTTTACTGTCTGGTTAGTAATTTTGTAATTGGATTTTTCTAGAATTGTTGGAAAATTCATTAAAACAACAAGGCTTCCTTTACATTGTGAAGAGTTTCTTTCTTTCTGTCTCCCCTGCAGACATTAAACCAGAGAACCTCCTCATCAGCTCTGAGGACGTGCTCAAGCTCTGTGACTTTGGTAAGTTCCATTTTTTACCTGTATTGGTACAAGCCAAGTTTCTATTCAGCTGTCAGATTACATTTAATCAAATAACCGAAATATCACAAATTATATCAAAATGTCAAAAATTATGTGAATTATGCTGAGCTTCCATTAATTCTGTGCAAGAGAATTAAACTCCAAATTATCTTGTTTTGTGTCTGTAAAAATAATTTTGAGAAATATAGAGTTTACAGACAAATTTTTAATGTTTAGCAGCTTCTTGTTGTTTTGGTAAATGTCTGTTAAATGGAAAAAGGCATTTTCTGTCATTTACCATCTAATATCTTTATATCTTTTTCTTTGCTAAGAAACCTTTTCATTTCTTTATTAGTCAACAAATTCTGCCTGCCTTCCATTACTTGAGGAGTTCATTAGCAAAAAACGATAAACATCATTCTTTAAAAATGAGCTGATTGTCGGGAGTTATTCTTGACACAGCACATTCTGAACCCTAAATAGGATTTAGAATAGCAGAAACAGTCAAACTCCAGCACTGCTCTCATGCAGAACTCAATAAATTTGTTTAGCAAATCAGCACACAGTATTCAGGTCAGGTGACGCAAGATTGCTGCAAACTGTTTTAGGCAGAATCTCAAATGGCTCCCTTCTCCGTACAAAGTACAGCACGGTCTTAAAATAATGGCTACTGCCTCTAAACTGAGCACAGTGTGTCTAACAAAGAACCACTTTGGATTCAGCCATGTGTGCACAATTCATACTGGACATAAAGCAGTATTTGGATGCGATGGGATGGGATTGAGCCATAGGATTTTCTGAGGTATGATCTTACGGATGTTTAATATAGCCCATTAATGGGCTTTTGTAATTTTCAGCACTCTACCTATGTGTTTTATGTTGAAGAATGTTAAATGTTGCATGTAAAAGAAATTGTATCCATTACAAGGCTTTCTTTAACTCTGAAGCATGAAATGACCATTTCTGCTTTTGCCAAAAAAATTAATTTAAATAAAAAGTTTAATTTTGCAAGTTACCTGTATTTTATTGTGTTATTTTTACTTAATCAAAACAACCCAACAGCAGTTTGATTTATATTACCTGGAATACACAATAAAAAAAATGATGGATAAAAAATTTATTAAAATAGAGATGTTTTTGCAAATGAACTCTTCTCTTTTAGCTGTTTTATGCCTGGAGACTCAATGACTCATACTCAAGCCCGGCTTGCCACAAATTTAAAGACATATTGCTAGTCAGTGGCTCTAACCCCTCACTTCATAATGCCCAGGCTTAGTTTTCAGCTCTACATAAAGCTATTAAGTCTGGTAGCATCCATGCAGAAGCATTGGTCTTTCCAGAAGTTTAAGTTACCCGACTGTTTCCCGTTCTGCAGTGAAAGGGTCTTGCTTCCAGAGTCTCAGCTCACATAGATTCAGCGTTAAAATTGTCAATCACCAGGATGGTCGTGCGGGAGCAGTAACACACTTGGACAGCCGTGCACTTGTTGGACAGTAATACAGCTGTGCACCTGCTCATTCTCAGGACACTCACTAATTCACAGTAGCTGCTAATTTTGAAATCTGCTATGTATGGCGTGTGATAGTTGAAGTAATCAAGGACAAAGCAATACACCTGCACATCTGGTGTAATATATTTTGACAGTTGTGCACTCGGTAACTCTTCTGCACCTGCTCTGGCACTAATATGTGGGTGATTTTTTATGCTGCTTGGGCTTGGAGACCTAGACACTCCTCCCACAGCTACTTTGTTTCAGGCATTTTGACAATTGCCTGCCGATACACATCATGCAAACACATTGTTAGTCAGTCTTTTGTATGACAGTCAAAATGGCCCCTTACTGTCAAAGTAAGTGCTTCTTGATCATGTTGGGCAATGATGCCTACTTGGGAGAATAAGCCTGTAATGTGTTTAATTCACCATGCTACAAGGTTGTCACTAAGGCTTTCTTTAGCATGGTTAGAATAATTTGTTTTTGACTTCCAGGAGACTTGTGTAGCCAGCATTCCTGGCCTTGTCCTGGGCTAAAGTGTACTTCCAGTGTAGACAATGCCTTCAGTCTGTGGTTGTAGTACGAGTGATTTTGGGACTGTTGGAGGGGAGAGAATTTAGAGAGTTGGATTCTACTTTAAGCTGGAGTGCCAGACTCACCTTTAAATAAGCTAGGCATAGAAGATGGGAGGAGCCATACTAACAAGTCTATTCGACACCATTAACAATTTGCCATGATTTAAGGTAAATGTGTAGTTATTTAGTTGTGCAGTTTGCACAGTGCACTTTGAAGTATTACTTGTTATCTACATTAGTCTTGTAACTTTAGTCCAAAACTAAAGCAAACTTTGGACACCGAACATGTCTTAGCTGGGAAACTACATTCATCGAAACCGTTGATGGATTACTGACCGGGACATTAGGGCCAGTGCCCAGGGCTCTCTGATTGCCAGGGACCTTGGGAGGACCACAAGGATCAAAGTGGCTCAGATACTGGGGACAATCCATTGCACATTTCTCAAATGTGTACGAATGACAATATACAGAAAATGCATGAGCTTTTAGGCCAGTTTTCTGTTTTCCATCATTACTGACTCATGAAATATTGTGGTTGCCGTTCAGATGGGATGTAGGACTACTTCTGTTTTTGCATTACAACTAAAGGGAAAAAAATAGACACAATAGGATATTACACTTTAATATGGCTTGTTTTGTTTAGTTTCTACCAGCAAAACAGAATAGACTAACACAAAATACTGTTTAAACTCACTTTTCAGGTCAATTTTATGCATTAATGTTGGAGTGCTTCCAGAGTCTTGTGCCCAGTGACCTTGCAGGAGCATGATCCATCCCTGACCCAAACAAAGCTAAAATAATGAACAGTGAATGAATGTGATGTCATGCTGAATTGCCAACATTATATGCCATTCATTGTTACTAGCATTGTTGGATTTAATGTTTTTTCAAAGACATTAATTTAATTTAGACCAGGACTAGCCTCAGTCTGCGTGTGGGTAACTGGCACTTGCTGAAAGTGGAACATCCCTATTCCCATGGCCAGCTCGTATGAGAAGACTATTTCAATCAGCGTGACGTGGTCAGCTAGCAGCAGTGGCAGTCAGATTGAGGAGGACGCAATGTTCTGTCAAGATGTTATTTTTCCAGGAGTTTTCTGAGAACCATTATTTTTATCCCTCAACCTGAGGCCTAATTTTACGCCTGTCTTATCGACATTCACTGCTCTTTTTTTCTGGGCGTGCATAAGCGACTTGTGTGTGTGTGTGTGCGTGTGTGTGTGTGCGTGTGTGTGTGTGTGTGTGTGTGTGTGTCTGGGCGAGCAGCAGCAGGTCCTCTGTCTAACACTCCATATTGAGGGCAGAATGCCAGTCATGATCTACTTAGGCTCCTGCCATTTTGTTTCTCCTACAGCATGCGGGAGCAGACTGCATACACATGGCCTAGTGGAGTAACACTGTAGACATGTGTCATTGTTTCCATGACCAAGTCAAATCTAAACACACACATGCATGCTAAGTTGATTACAGGTTACAGATTACAGGTCTTCCATGTGTATTGTGCCTTCCTTGCACTGATTCTTGTAGTTTGTGGTTTGTGGGTGTGGTCTTGCACCACTAACATTGTTATTTGTTTGGGGTCTGTTGTTGAAATATTGGAAAATAGATAATTTGTTGATCAAAGCACTAATAAAGAATGGTCTTTTTACCTCCCTCTCTTCCTTTCTTCTCTCTCATACCATTCGTGCCCTCTATTATCTGTCATTCGCAGGTTTTGCCCGTGACCTATCTGAAGGAACTGATGCTAACTACACTGAGTATGTGGCCACCAGGTGGTACCGCTCTCCTGAACTACTGCTGGGGTCAGTTTTATTTGTGTTTATTTGTGTGTGATACTGGCTTTCACTTTTGACAGGTTCATCAAGAGCATGACCACCGACTTTAGTACGAAACTAAAATCATCAACGTAGTGGATAGTAAAACGTTGTTGTTTTTGTAGAACTACAAAGTGCACCTACATGGTAAGTGAGCTGACATGATAAAGGGATGTACTTAATGAAGTGGCCAGTAATTATATATATATATATATATATATATATATATATATATATATATATATATACATATATTTATTTATTTATTTATTTATATTTTAGTGCAACAAATGCCGCTTTCCATACGATTTCAGGGATGTCTATTAAGTGCTGTTAAAAGGTAAGATGATGTAACAGAGTAGTAAACATGCTTCTGTCTCAACCTTTTTAGAAGGTGTTGCAAGCATCTAATTTAAAAATGTGAAATGTATTTAAAAATAAACAACCAGTAATGTTTATAAGGTAAAACATCAGATTTTATGTTTTTGTACCATTTCCAGTTTATCCCAGAATTTTATGTTGCCAATAAAATAAGCACACCTTTATTGAATGTTATTATTAATGTACATAATAATCTATTTTAACAGTCCATAATCAACACAGTTGAATCACCACCTTCAGACTGCTATGTTGATGCATTTTGACTTTTGACTATTGTCTAAACTGACAGTTAGTCGGATTGTGAGAGAAGACTTCAGCTAGTTTCTGAAGGTAAAGATCTCATACAGATTATAGTTATGTAGTCCTTTGTGAAAACTACCAATGCTGTATACTCTGCCATCAAAAGATCATACTCTGACAAAGCACATTTTGACTTTGCAGGCCTGATGTTCTTTAAGAATTCCTTTCATTTTCTCTTCTCTTACATACACATTGATTTGTGATCACTATCAACCATCCTAGTACTGGTATGACTATTTACAGTAAAGTAAGAACATTCACAGTGCACACATAGACACGGACAGACGCAGGCATAAACATTTAAGAGGATGATTCAAGGGTAAGAGTCATGCATATGATCATGAACGGGTGGTTGGGATTGCTTTATTTGAGTTGCTTAAGCCCTATTAGTGAATTAGTTTTACCTCACGTGGTACTGTAATTTAAGTCAGAACAGAAGTTCAGTCATTTTTATTGTGTAGTTTTTAACACTGACAATATTAATTGTGGAGTGATTTTAATCCAGTATAAATCTCCAGTGTGTGCAGTAGTTACAGCCTGACAGTGATCATTATGGAGTGGTTTAAATCCAGTATGAGTCTGCAGTGTGTGTAGTTTTTACAGTCTGATAGTAATAAATCTGGAGTGATTTTAATCCAGTATGAGTCTGCAGTGTGTGTAGTTTTTACAGTCTGACAGTAATAACTGTAGAGTGATTTTAATCCAGTTTGAGGCTGCAGTGTGTGTAGTTTTTACATTCTGACAGTAATAACTGTGGAGTGATATTAATTCGATATGAATCTGAAGTGTGTGTAGGTTTTCTAATCTGACAGTAATAATTGTGAGGTATTTTGAATCCAGTATGAATCTGCAGCCTGCTAAAAGACACAAGACACACAAAGACACATCAAGTCTGATCTTTTGCAAATTATGTTAAAGCACCTCCTCTGATAAAACAGGTCCAGCTCCAGTAGTGCTTCAGGCTACAGCAAACTGCCAAGCATATCACCACATTACCTGCAAAGAGATTGATTGTAATCGCTTATTTCCAGGAAACATCAAGGAATTTAGACTTGCTTTTTAATGTTTTCGATTGAGATTTTTTTAAAGTATAATAACTTTTGTCACAGTAAAGCAGAACTTTCACAAGCATTAGCCTCATTGGTCTTAGAGTGGTGTGTTTCTTTCACTTGATACTAGTAAATAATGACTTTTGAGAGCAGGATAACATTGTGATTTAGTGTAGTTATTTCAGTGTATCACACAGGCATAATTTGGTTTGCGAATTTGGTTAGAAGTGCTGGCCTGAGGTTTTAAATATCAGCTGTTAGTGGGTTAGTCAGAGTTCTACAAGCAGTGTTTGTTTGAGAAGACTGTGCCCTCTAGTGTAGTCTCGCTGATTTAGAGCTTGCCAAAAGTCCTGCTGTAGTACTGATAAGAGACTTCACTATTGTGGAAATTTCATTTTTGGTGACTTTGAAGAACTTGCATGTTCTTTTTAGCGCATTTCCTTTCTGGAAAGCTGTTTCCTGGTGCGTTTTCTGGACAAACTTTGTTCTGACCCATGCAAATATGCAATGCAAATATAATAATGTAATAGAATTTGTTTCCACTTATATGAAGCTAGTAAAACAGTCCATCATGGAAAGCAAAATGGAAAGAGAAAAATATATGAAAAGCTTTCAGGTACCTGACCAAAATGCCTCCTAAATGCTGAGCTACCCAAAAAATCAGCAGCTACAGAAAGCATTAACTTCAGATTTTTACCAGTAAAATACCTCTTACAGTTATTAAATGTAAGGGTTTGAATATTATTGCGTGCTTGCCGGTAATGACATGGCAATCTGAGGTATTACATGTTTAAGTCTTTATGTATTATTATCAGTTAGATGAGGTTCAGAGCAGCAATTTGTGCAGAAAATTCTAACCAGACAAATTTAATCACTACTGATGCACAATGATATTTGAATAATAACAATATAGGCAGAAAATATCAGCTTCAGACAGATGTCTGTATTTGACCCATAGAAAAATTGCTGTACTCTGGAAGAACAGAATGTTGAGGTGATGCTGAGCTAGTGTGCTGAAGTGTTTGCATTTTATTTATTTTATCAATGTTTATGTATCGGCATCGGGAGATATATGCATGAAAAATTCTGACATTGGTCCAGAACTCTCATATCGGTGCCTCCCGACAAATCAGTATGAAGTTACAACAGCATACATGTGACTTAAATAGCCGTTTCTATATTCAGGACTTCTCTACTATTGATTGCAAGATAATAGCAGCAGTCTTCATATTTAAATATTCTAATTAAAGTGATATTGTAATGAAAATTCAAATTTACACAATTCCCCCCTTACTCCAAATGTAGATGATAAGCCAAGACATATTTTGTCTTTTTTTTTTACTTTTTGTTAACTTTTCTTTTGGATCAAAGAGCCAAAAAGTAATGGAAGCCTGAAAGCTGCTACTGCTGTTGTCAGCTATGCAGTGTACCTTTATGATAGATAAGTATGTCGTTTGAGTGCGTTAAATACATTAGCCTTGTAGCACTAGTGCAAAGAAGTAAAGAAGTAAGCTTCAGACATCAATATGTCTTAGCTCTTTAACTTGGCTACATTTGAAGAAAGTGGAAGATTGTGTACATTTTATTTTTTAAATCATCACTTTAAATAACAATATAAATTCAGTATATTGCTGTTGTCAGAAGAAAATCTTGTATCTCCATAAGGCTAACTTTACAGGAAAAGGAAAAAACCTACTTTACTTTTAATGTAAATCAGTGAAACCAGACTTTTTTCCAAGTCATTTTGGGCCATTTCTTTTGGTCCATTCTTCATGGAATTTACACACAATGTAAAGAGCAACAGGCTTTTTTTTAATTATATTATATTATAGAAAACTGGTTTTCTTCCGACAGCAGTAAGCTGTAGGCTTAAGGGGACTTCTTAGCTATTAATTGCAAGATGATTAAGTTTGGACATTCAGGTTTTTATTATGTTGGAATTTAGAAGGTCTTTCTATGTCTTAAAAATATTTCTTGAAATGGATTATGGAATATTTGCAGCATTTGTTTACACCAGTGTAAATGTAAAATAAGTACAGCCACTTTTGTAGCAGATTGCCTTGTACACAAATTATTAGTAGCACTGCTGTCATTTTCTATTTTTATTTGTATTATTGATACTATAAATGATATTGATAATAATTTTGGTTAGTGAACCGCAAATCAAGCATTTTGTGCTCATTTTATGATCAAATATAAGCATACGTAACTTTGATGAATAAGAGCCATCATCTCTCGATCTTGCAGAGCTCCGTATGGGAAAGCAGTGGACATGTGGTCAGTGGGGTGTATTCTGGGCGAGCTGAGCGATGGGCAGCCGTTGTTTCCGGGCGAGAGTGAGATAGATCAGCTCTTCACCATCCAGAAAGTCCTGGGACCCCTCCCTCCAGAGCAGATGAAGCTTTTCTACAACAACCCCCGCTTCCACGGACTACGGGTGGGCCTCTGCCTGCTTCTGCCCCTCTCTTTCTCTCTTTCTCTCTCTCTCTCTCGCTCTCTCTCGTTCTTTTCTCACTCTCTATCCTTGATCTTCTCACTCGTCCCTCCACCTCCTCCCAAACACTCTCTTTCTTTGCAGCCCTCTGTCTCTCTCTCTCTTTTCCTCTCCTCTCTCCCCTCTCTCTCTCTCTCTCTTTCTCTCTCTCTCTATCTTCCGTTCTCTTCTCACTCTCTATCCTTGATCTTCTCACTAGTCCTTCCACCTCCTCCCAAACACACTCTCTCTCTCCAGCTCTCTCTCTCTCTCTCTCTCTTCCACTCTTTCTGTCTCTCTCTCTCTCTCTCCCTCTCTCTCTCTCTGGTTGGGCATTCTGTGCTGTGACTGATTGGATTGTGGTGACTCATGCTTGCGTCTTCTGAGTGTGTGTGTGTGTGTTTGTGTATATCAGTATGTATCCGTGTGTGTGTGTGTGTGAGAGAGAGAGAGATGGTTTAGACCTGCTGACAAAACCCAAGACCAGTCTACATGTCTCTCTCTCTCTCTCTCTCTCTGAATCATATCTTTCCTGTTATATCATACCTCAGTCCATATTCCACAGCTCTGCACTCTGCAGCTGTTCTGCTAGTGATAGAGTAGAAGTAGGTCGCCACTCAAATCAACAGTTTCCAGAAACGTGGCAGATTGTTTTTACAATTGCATATGGACCTGTTTGAACTAGTATACTGAATAAATCAGCATTGTTGTTTCTCTATGGTAATGAGATGGCAATCTTTGAACTTCATGTAGACGGCAAATGTATTTGAGATTTCAATTACAGAGATGCCAGTAGGTGTCAGCATCAAACAGAAGAGAATCGCAAAGGGCTTCTATTAGGACCTAACTGATCAAATATGACTTTCAGTTGTCTATTATCAAATATCTTAAAAAGTGATTATATTTATTAATTACTAATTACCAAGTAATTGTCAGAGCTACATTTATATAAGGCTTATGCATGTGTATGTTGTCATACACAATTTGCACACTGGATGGCGCTATACCTATTGGGTATACATGTAAGGTGGAGCACGGGAACATGACAGTCAGGTGTTGCTTGATGTGGGCCACTCACAGTTTTTAACAATGACATAGAAATTGCCTGTTCTTATGAATCTTCAAGGATTGTAATAAACTGACTCGGCTCCACAAATTACATTTGCTCACTGGATCTTTATGCCTGTTATCACAGGTCTAAACTTGCTCACATCTTCAGTGGCCTGTTTATGGTAAGAGAGTCATCATAACAAATATTATTGAAACTAAAACTCAAATAAACAGCAGCAACACAAAGTGAAATGATATAAATACCAAAAAGTAACCTAGAATTAATTTTATTACTTTATTTTACTTCATTATTTTATTACTTTATTATTCATTTGGCCCATGCTGATAACAGAATCGTGGGTAAGTATGTTCAAAATAAACACAGTAAACGGTCACATTAGGAGTTTTAGGAAGGGGGCAAATTTTGAGATGGTTCCCAGCACTGACACAGGTGCAGGATCAAACAGAGTGATAGTGTGTGAGTTAGCATAATCTTTTTCATATGTTTTTCAGAATATGAAAAAATATAGCAATAGTGCATTTCAGTGGTTGTGCTTGTAGTATACACTGGTACACACTTAAAAAATATGGTTATTAAAGGGTTCTTTAGTAAGGAAATTTTTTTTTTAAAGGGTTCTACATAGCACCAAAAAGTGTTCTTCCATTTCACGACGCAAAAAGAAACATTTAACCATGCAAAAGGGTTCTTTGAGTGTTCATGGTTCTATATAGAACTGTTTTCTGTACTAAAGAACTCTTGAAGAACCATCATTTTTGATCATAGAAACACGAACTAACAGTGCAATTAAAAAGCAAAAACAATAAAATATAAAAAGAAAACAAGAAGTAATACATACATCTAAAATAAAAATGAATAGTTTAGATAAATAACTGGGTACATAAAATAAAAAAAATTACACAATCATAAGCCTAAGGAAAGACATAAGTCTTGAGGCAAGACTCACCAATAGTTGATGCAGATCTCACATTAAAGGGTATACTATTCCACAACTTAGGGGCAGCTACTGAAAACGTCTGATGTCCCTTAAGCTTTGATCGAGAGTGTTGGACAGTGAACAGTAATTTATTGGATTGAAGGGACCTGCCAGACGAGTAAGGAGTAATCATATTGCAAATATACTGTAAATCGGTCAGGTTCTAACTTCTGTTGTCTCCATTTGTTCTCTGGCTTCCGAGTATATGGTATATGTGGATGTAACAGAGTTATTTGTTCTTTATACACAATATATATTCAAAAGTTTGTAGTCACGTTCTGACTAGTCAGTTCAGCTGCTTTAACATGCACCTGTTGCTGACACAGGCATCCAATTCCACACATGCAGCTTTATTAATCTCCACAGAAAAGCATTGCTGATAGGATGCTCTGGAGCAGCCGCACGAGTCTTAAGGTCACCATGTCTAATACCATGTGTCGACTAGAGGGGTATAAAACCCCCAGCATTAGACTGTGAAACTGCATTCTCTGGAGTGATAGAGCTCCATTCAGTCTGTGGGATAAGTTGGAGTGCTGGTTTTGATCCAGAACTAATCATCTAACATCAGTTTCTGACTTCACTAATGCTCTTGTAGCTGAATGCAATCAAATCGTCACAGCAATTTTGCAATACTTAGGGTAGCCTTCTCAGGAAAGTAGAGGTTGTTGCTGCAGCAAAAATAGCGGACAAATTCCCTATTAATACCGTTAGTTTCAGGAGAAACCCTGGATGAGGAGGTGTCTACAAACTTTTGGACATAAAGTGTATCACTCACCTGCAGCTGTAAGGATCATTTGAAGATCAGTGTGTGAAATCTGCATTACTTCGGTGCATCCATAAAGGATCTCAGCAGCTGGGAGGCAGAACTGCTTGCAGCAGATGGTGGCAGTAGAAAACATGGAAAACACACACACACATCCATGCACACACACACACAGACCGGGCTGCTAAACCACAGGCCTTATGGAAGTATGTCGCAACCTGCCAGCAGCAACGCTATTGGGTGCCCACTTTGTGTATTTTCAGGACAAAAATGTTCAGGGATGACCTACAGGACTATCAAAAGGATCCAAACTGTAAAGTGCTTTATTTTATTTTGTTTTATTTTAGGTTCCATTTGTAATATTGAGGTTAAGGATAGATTTAGGATTAGACTTTTACATATAAATAGAAATTCTTTTACATATAGATACTCACACATATATAATACAAAGGGGACTATTCATTAACATATGGGACATATTATTATCATTATTAATTTATCATTATATTTTTATATTAATATTATTATTGTTATGTCCCCATGTCCTGACATAGGAAAGCTTGTGTGTGTGTGTGTGTAAGACTGTGCTCTTATACACTCTTTCACTGTATACTGCAGTTCCCCACAGTGAGCCACCCGCAGACTCTGGAGAGGAGATACCTCGGCATCATCAACGGCCCCATGCTGGACCTAATGAAGGTAAGAGACACCAGACCACTGAGCTGTGTGTGTGTGTGCGCGTGTGTGAGAGAGACACAGATGGGCTCAGTGCGTAATGGAACATTGATTTTGACTGCCAGTGCTGGCCTAGGCTTCTATCAGAGGAGAGAGGAGAGACAGAGCATAAAGGAGAGGGAGAGAGAATTAAGTGTATCTCTCAGTCTTTTACATGTTAGATGGCATTAGTTTGCACAGTACATGCTGCGCTACGTGCACAGTCCAGTCATTGATTTAATTTCCAATCAAGACGGCCATTAAGCTATTGATTTTTGCAGTGTCAGGAAGAAAACAGAAAACATATATTTAACAAAAAATTACACAGAAGCCTCAATGACTAAATATAAGATCACATTTTTCAATATATAGTGTGTCCATGCTTCACCTTTATTACAGCATTCATTCGTTTCATGAGAATTGCTGTCAGGAAATTTTCAAGATATTTTTCCGCATCTCCACAAAGTTCATTCTTAGAAGTTTGTTGCACTTTCTGCTTTCCACAATGCAAGTAATCCCAAACATTCAGCAATTTACTCTGGAGTGGCCAGTTCACTGTTCGGAAAACGGCAGCAGCTTATTTGTGCTTCTTTGTCAATTTCCTGTTTCTCAGTAAGGGCTTCTTGACAGCTACACATCCTTTCAGACTCATTGCCATGAGTCGTCTTCTCACAGTGGAAGGATGGACAGTAACACCTGTTTTTCAGATCTAAAGCAAGAGTGGAGCTTGATTTTCTCTTCTCTCTCCCAGATGAAAGCTTCACATACTGTTTATCTGATGGGGACAATTTTGGTGCTCTACCAGGTTTAGCATGGTTGTTAGGAGCCCACATTTCTCTGTATCTTTTAATGATTTTTGGAAATCTAGATTTGGAATCTCGTGTTTTTTTTCTTCGTCTTTCCTCTTTTTTATGCAAGTGATTTATCTTATATCTAATCTCCTCAGAAATACCTCCATATAAATGAATAGCCAGTACTTAATGACTGGTTTGAGTGGAAATGAAATAATGCTTTCTCTGACTTTTGCACAGTATTGTATGTTGGCCTACATGTGCTTGCATGTGTCTGTGAATGTGTGTGTTGGTGCGAGCAGTGTGCTGTGCTTTATCTTAAAGGGCATGAGTGTGTATATGCGCCTGCAGGTTCATGTGCATGTATGGTTTATGTGTGCCTGACCGGTGGGCAGTAGTGCATGTTTCCACTTGCTGATGACTCACTGCTTATACTAAAAGCTCCTTACACATTTACCTGGCTTTTTGGTATCTCTCACAGTGACAGAGCTACTTTCACTTACCCTCAGCTGCATGGCATCACAGCCTTAACTCAGTTTATTATCTGTATACCTTCCTTTAGTTTCAATTATGTGGTCAATTTCAGTCACAAAACTAAACTAAAGCAAACCAAGCTAAATCAAATTTACAGTTTTCCTCTGAGCCCCAATGTAGTCAACCAAGATGTTTGGTGTCTTTGCTTCTTCAGTTTTGTGCAACAAGTAATGGAAGCTTATAGCCACCAAATTGCATGCTTAAAACATCACACACTCACCTCATTGAGTTAAGTAATTTCAACTAAGCTTACTGATGTTGTTTCTGATATGACATATAAACACACTTGAGAAAGCTGAAAACGGACTTGAAGCCTGAATTTTGTTTGTACTCTCGGTCGTTTTTATAGGTAACAGTATGTCAAACAGAGTGAGAAACCACAAGAGTGAATTCTGTTTGAGAAGACTTAATTTGATGTGGCTTGAGGTGAGCGTGTTATGATGTGTGCGTGTGGTTTGCACAGTGGTAATTGGTGTGGTTATAAGCTTCCATAGACCAATTAAGTTCTGTGGTCTGCAGCTAGTCTTACAGGGCCACATGTGATTTCGTAATGAGAACGTCTGGGGACAACTAAGAGAAATTTTGTGTGAAATGTGGTTGGGAACATAGACTTAATAGGGTGGGAATGAATTTTAAAAACCAGTCCAACGCTTAGAGCCTCAACAACATTGTCTGATGAAAAACAAGTGTGTTGCTAGCCTGTGGATATAATGTAAGTTATAACCACTGAAAGGTCCTCACAAAAACTCCAGATGAGTACGTAGAAGTGTGTCACGTGTGCAAAAAAACACATTACATGCAGTAAAAATAAGCACTATCCCTTAAAAGAATTGTGTAGCTAACAGTTGCAACTTTCGAGCTAGCTTGTTTGGCCTGTGTTATCATTGCATTGCTGCAAAAAAGGATGGACTTGAGGGATTTGGGCATGGGTTTTAGAGGTGGTGTATTCTTGTTAGCGGCAGATATCAAACAGTTTTAGTTGTTAAAAGCACAAGTTTTTAACAGGCTGTCCCCAGACGCGAATTCTCCTTATGAGAATTATGAAGTTGTTAAATAGTCAAAAATAGTGCTACATTCATCATACAAGTAACTGTTCACTGCACTGATATAATGCTGCATGAAAGTAAGCCTACTACTAAACTTCAACACTATTATGTAACACCAGCTACTCTAACTGTAGGCTCAAACTGCCAGAGCTACTTAACCATGTTACTTTACAAAGCTTGCTGTTTTGCATGGAGTGTTTTGACAAGGGTGGCAGTCTTTAGCCAGTAATGTACTTCAAACAAAAATGACCTTTCAAAGCAAAGCGACCTCTTTTTGGCCAAAATGACACGGTGTATGCGGCGCTTGCTGAACAGAGCTCTTAATCACTGTGTCATTTGTTTCTCTTGTGGTGCTGAGATTTAATGAGAGTTTCACCAAGTTTTCAGCAAAATTCAATAATTGAGATGTAAACAAAGTAATTCAGAGTAGTTTGATGTGAAATGCTCTGTTGTAGATAAGTGTACAAAGTAAGAGTTGTTTACAGTGGTGGTGAAGGGATCCAGGGGTCACAATGTCCACAACACATATATAGCCATTTTATTTACTATCCAAAGCAATCAGTGAATCTACACGTCTTCTGAGTTTTACATGTAATGTTGCTGATGTTGAAATAGTGGAAAATTTGAAAAAATAAGTTTTCTTTGGGCACTATGTTGCCTTAGATCGCCCTGCATGTACCTGTCCGCCACTGAAGTATTTGTACAAAAATCTCAAAACTATCGTAGAAACATCTTGTGCATCATGGTGTATTTATAACCATTTAATGTAACAACTGTCTGTGTTGTAGCTTTTAGAGGCATTCAACTCTTCAGACATCTGGCTCCTATCGCCACCACTGTGAACTCTGTGAATTCTGATTTGTTAAATATCTCTAGAACAGACTGTATAAAAAAAAAAGACTTAGAGTTCCTTATGTGGAGGTATCGCTGACTACAGAAGGATGACATGACTTCAGAGTTCCATAGCTTGTTAGCTACATTAGCCTCATAGCTCCAGTGCAAATTATTTGAAATGACAGATTTCATATATTTGGGTGTTTTTTTTTCTCATCAAAACTATACACACTGGACGCCACATATTTTTTTGGAATTTCAGCATGCTATTCTAACCGCAGAAAAGGGGCTCTTTCACTCACATCTCTCCGATTTGAAAAAGTGAAAAATATTGTGAAGAACTTTGCTTCATTCAGAGGCTGAAACTTTACATTTTCCACACATAACTCAAATATCCGTAGCTCAGTTTGAGGCCCCTTTGAGCCGCTATAGAAGATTCTACTCCTTTTAGCATTCAGGAAAAGTCGCACTTCCTCGTACACAGCCAGTTGATCTTCTTGGTTGTTGTCAAGTCACTGCCAGAGACGACAGTTGATTGGGTAGAGAGTTCATGTCGGCGGAGAATATTGACAGAAGTTGAACAGATGGCAAATATGCTATTACTGGTACATTATCATTACATTTAGCATGCAGTATACTTTTGTCCAGCCGAACTACACAGTTTAGACTAAGGGGAAGTGGTGTTAATCTACTTCTGCTTTTGTAGAGCACAGCTGAGCATCTTCACTCTCAGAAAAAAAGGTACTTCTCTTGTCACTGAGGTGGTACCCTAAAGGGTACATCTTCAGTACTTTTAGTTAAGAAACGTAATTGTACCACGCTTCACTGCAATTATATATTTTAAGTCGTATTAACACCACCCTGTCTTATCTCCAATCTCTTTACCTTATTGTCCTGTTTTAAAACATTAGGTTATGAAAAGGTACGAATATGTACTTTTCCCCTGAGAAAATTTTGTTTGAGGTACATGGTTGGATCTTAAAACCACTGCTGTACCCTTAAAGCCCATTTGCATTGTTTGCACCTTTATGAATGGAAAACCTGCACAGAACTTTTTATTCTGACAGAGTTTCTCTCATCTCTGCAATGGCACTTTTTCTTTACCCTTTTTCTGTTCCCTCTTTTGCTCTGACCCTCTCTGCCTTTCTATTTTGCGTGACTTTACTCCTAGATGCAGTGTTATAATCGTGTGTGCTGTGAGTCGTGAAGGCGTTAGCCAAAAGGTCACCACCATAAAAGTTAAATGTCGCCTGGATAAAAACTGTCATACTTTAATGTCAGCAAGAGCGAGAGACTGAAAAAAACCTTCAGTGAACCCTCAGTGTTTAAGAGTCTCAAAAGACAGTTTGACAGGGAAGACAATGGAGAGGGAGACGCAAACATCTATACTGCTATAACAGCTGAAAGAGAAAAAAAGCAGACACAAAACCTTTAGGTCCAACACCCAGGAGACTCATTCTCATCTTAGTAAGATATGTCAGCGTGAAAGATGTTATCCAATAGGCTGTATTGAACATCACACTGACAGTACATTCAGAGTACATAGTGTAGGCCAAGTAGCATGCCTAAATCATCTCACTTTTGCTTCAAACTATGTTCAGTTGTTAAGTGATCTCAAATGGACTTGCTTCTACCACTATATGACGTACTGTTATCTATGAAAACCTGAACAAGACTTGTATGCAAGTCCTTACTTAATTTGCTTGACCAAACATGTCTTGGCTGGCTACATTTGGTAAAGGTGGAGTAAAGTGGATTTTTTGCTGAACATTTGCTTTAAAAGAAAGTAGGGATGTCATGATTACTCAGTAAAATTCAAAAATGATCAACATTTGCATTCTGAATTAATCTGTTTAGTGGTTAGTTTTCAATTTGAATCATAAACATGGTACTACAGGTCCACAGTTAGTGTTTAAGTTGCTTTTGTGTGCATTACAGAAAGCAAGAAAACCTACACCAGCAGCATCTCACAAATACAAATAAATTGCACACATATAAAGTAAAATTAAATGATTGCTGTTACAAACTGTGTGTATATAAAGTAAAAATGTATATAAAGTAAAAGCTCTGTGAAGTGCAAGCTCAGCAGACAGCTAACAGGCTAACAGACTATTCCAATAACATTCAGTAAGACTGCTGGATTCACTGTAAGTGCAACATACAAAGTAAAGAATATGCCACTTGAATGTCTGTTACAAGCTTATAATGTTTTAGATGTCTGTGTTTAAGTATAGCTGGCTTAAGTATAGTATTAAACATGTGGGACGTGAATATTTACCACCACTGGCTTTGCAGTAAAATAACATTGAAGATAACCATAATAAAGTGGAAATTAACATTATTGTATGGGTGTTTGGCAGGTTATTTAGAAAGTAGAGATTACTACATGAAATGAATGAATAGAGCAGCTTTCAAAATTTCTCAAATATTGGCATTTAGGAATTTGTTCACTGATTTCACAGCTTCCTGATATGTGCTGTGTGCATACTGCTCATATTTACTAGTACAGACTGTACATATTTCTTCTTATACTCTGCACAATGCTTTGTTTTGGCCCATGTTGTTCACTTGCACTGTCTGCTATTGTAAGCACAGACCCTGTCTTGTATATGCATTAAGGCCCTGAAGAAACATGGAGGTGGTTTCTTTCCACTATATACTTGTATATGTGTGGGATAACAATAACTTCTTCTTAGCTCTTGGCTTCTTGATCTTTCTTTCTGAGACTGAAAGATTTTAATGTTGCTCAGCGAGAGACAGAAGATATAAAAGAGCTTTAGGCTGCTTTAGGTGGGTCACGATTCATTGAGCGCCCAGTGAAGCTGTTCCATATTTATGATAATTAGGGTGATTCATATTAACATCTCTTATTTAGCCGAGGATGAGATACTATTAATATGCTGATCATATGCTAATTGTATTCGTACCTCAATTTCTCCCGTTTGTATGCATTTGAATGAGCTGCTGTTGAACGTTATGACATAATTAACCTTGAACTTCACCAAGGACATTAAAACCCTGATCAGAAAATCATTGCAACGAGCAGGCAAGTTTTCAATACTGCAGCAACAGTGCCTAAAATCTACGACATGTGTGGTTACCATGCTCTCTTTGAGTAAACTCCAAACTAATCATGGGGTGTTTGTGGCAGTGTTTCTGATTGGAGTTTTAAATCACTGCAGTAACACCAAATGGCAGTGTCAGGTACTCTGACTAGCACAACATTGGCATTGTGCAGTGTCAGCTCAAAGGTCAGTTTCTTCAGCATTTCAGCTGAAGGGGCAATTCAGACACTTGGACTTGAGTTTAGTGACGCAGACTCAAGTTGTATTGAGTTGCATGATGACTGACTTGCATTTCGACTCAGACTAGTTAGTCCTTAACTGACTTGTGACTGGACTTGGACTCTTGGCTGAAAACTCCTAAGAAGAAATCAAGCACAAAACTTGACATTTACATAGAACTTTTTAGCCTGATAGATAGTACTAGTCTAATGGCTAATAAAAGTTGATTCAGTAAGTTTGTAAGTTAGTAAGTTTGTAAGTCATGTTTTTAGTAAGTAGTAAGTTTAGTAAGTTATAGATAACTTAACAGTCAATATAATATATTTGTTTGGGGGTTAATGCATACATGGAAGTGAAAGTCAAAAGAACAGAACAAGATTTACTGTTTTTGCCAGTGACCTAAAACTTGACTTGTACCTCAGAGATTTAAACTTTGACTTGGACTCACACCTCAGAAACTGGATAATTGACTTAGACTCACACCTGAGAAACTGGAGATTGACTTGGATTCACACCTCAGAAACTGAGAAACTGACTTGGACTCACACCTCCGGAACTCAAGAATTGACTTGGACTCGCACCTCAGAGACTCAAGAATTGACTTGCACTCACACCTCAGAGACTCAAGAATTGACTTGGACTCACACCTCAGACACCTGGGAATTGACTTGGACTCACACCTCAGACACCTGGGAATTGACTTGGACTCACACCTGCAAAACTGGGGAATTGACTTGGAATTACATCTGAGAAACCTGGGAATTGACTTGGACTCACACCTCAGAAACTTGGGAATTGTCTTGGACTCACACCTCAGAAACTTGGGAATTGACTTGACTCACACCTCAGAAACCTGGGAATTGACTTGGACTCACACCTGAAAAACCTGGGAATTGACTTGGACTCACACCTCAGAGACTTGAGGCTCGACTTGGATTTGCACCTCAGAGACTTCAGACTTTACTCAGACTCCCACCTGAGCGACTCCAGAGTTGACGATAGATAGCTAGTGGCTATTCACTTTCATTCATTATTATTAATACCACTTTTGAGTCAACTGCCTCTTTAGATAAATGCAGAACAGGCAACATAGTAATGTAATGTAAGGCAGTGTATTTTACGCCATGTTCAAGATCTATGATTCACACAATATACAGTACCTCTTAAGGAAATTACATTCTTTGTCCATTATAACTTTCTTGGTCCATTGATCTGTTGTGTTCAGATGGAGTTAAGACCATCCAGCTAAAGAATGCTCTGGTTTACTCATTTATGTGTGTGCTTGTGACTGCCGTTTCAGAACCTGCTGCTTTTAAACCCAAATGAGCGTTTTCTGACGGAACAGAGCCTGAATCACCCCGTTTTCCAGACGCAGTGCCACACGGACCGCACTGGCCCACCCACCCCTACACCCATCCGCTCCTCCAAGAGAAAACCCCACCATGACAATGCCGCCCTCAGCAGGTCAGGAGGAGAATTCGCACCCTGCTGGATGTTGCCTAAACCAATGTGTATCAGTATGACTGTGTGTTTTCCACATATGTTTATTCTTGTAAATATGAATTGCCGCTGCTAGATTCTCCCTACTCTTATGTCTGGCATACACTGTATGATTTTGAAACAGTTTTTGAGTCCAACTTGGCTGTCACTGATTAATCTTCAGAATTAGGCTGAATTTCAGCTTCAGCGGCCATTATTTAACATGCACGCACCCAATTAACTACCAGGATGATTTCCAGTTAAGCTGTTGGACGATCATATGAATTTCAGACATGCCAGAATTTTATTCTAGGCTGTCTTCGAGTTTGTTACTTCTTGTTTCTGTATGTTGTAGCTTTGGTTATTGACAGTAACACCCTGACATACTCAAACTGAGCATATAAATCGTAGGCTTTGACCATAAACAACAGGCGTTTCAAGCATGAGTTTTCACCAAAGGACAAGATATATACAATAATCCGTTCTGACCACACAGTCTGGCTGAGAAATGTTCTACTCTGTTTTTCTTTCCACGATAACTGTGTTATTCCACTGAGCACCAGTTGTTAAGTAACAAATCGCTTTTACGCTGCAGCTAACGGTTACTAAGTTTCTACCTAAGCACATACAATAACAGAAAATGAATGTATAAGGTAATATTTGATCTACAGTATATTTGATCAGATTCTGAAGACAAGTGTGACTGCAGGCCTTCATCAAATTCAAGAACCTGTCGTAACTTTTCGGTTGGCAGGTGAACAACTAAACAAACTGGAATTAGCCAAAAATTAACAGAATACAGTTCAGCAAACAAGATGAGTTGTGAAATGCTATGCAGACAGACTGGAACAGAAATGATAGTCAGGTTAGTCTGGCAAATACTGAAAGAAAGCTGAGCTGACCGTGATATTGGATCAGTTTTATGGCTGTATCCCTAACACAAAGGGTTAATACATTATTGTGGCAGAAAGAGCTGCCAATATTAAAGCACATTTGAAACAATATTTAGGGCTTCTTTCCTTTACTTTTTTCTTTATTTTGCAGGACTGTTGTATGAAAGCAATAAAACACTCAGGGTTGTGTGTTATATCACAAATAATATCACTGCCATCGTGATCTGTCACTCAACATTCAGCTGACGCCTGCGACCAAATCGTGATTTATATTCGCAATTACACACTTTTGTGTTCTATTGTTTAAAATTACACTGTGTAAGTTTTGGGGATTTGGAGACCTCTGTAGTGGAAACGTGTAATTGCACGCAACATGTGAAAGCGCATTTTGTAACGTTGTTTGTGCTTCAGACCCCTTCCTCGAGGGGGTGAATCTGACTTTTTGAGCCTGTGTTTGTGATATTAATATGTCATAGATAAATGACGTGGTCCGAAAAACTCTTAGCAATGCTACTTCTTTCAATTTCACAGAAAACCAAACATACTGCGGATTTATTTGTATGCTTGGCTTAAGAAAGTGTATGTTGCCCAAAGGCACAGTTTATGCTGCAGGGCCATAGTCAGGGCACCTTGAGGTTAAGTGTGTTGGTCAAGTGCACAGTTTCAATCTGCTAGTATCAAATCCATGATCCTCACAAGTCATCATCAAGTTCGTTGACCCCTTGGCTACCAGCTGTAAATACAACCTGTTTCATTTCAGAAGCTGATCCTTGATCAGTACTTTTGCCCTCACCTATTTACTGAAGTCCATTGCAGTGTTGTGAGCACTGTATTGGTCAGATTTGGCCAGTCACTTTTCACTGTGTAAATAACAATACCAGTTTCTAAATGCTGAATATTTCAGTACGATTCCATGTCTCATCTCCACTAATCTGAGACGAATGAGTTAATTTTTGCCAACTGTTCCAGTTGATCCAACTTAATTAAACAAGGTTAATTGTTTAAAGCTTAATTGAAGACTGTTTGCAATCAGAGCTCAAGTGTGCCTAATGACAAATTAGCATACTTAGACACTTAATGAGCTCATTTGATTTAACAATATGAAGAAATGACCTGAACACTAACTGTATTTGTGCATATTAGCCCACATTATGCTTTCTAGTGGTAACACATGGCAGCAGTTTATATAATGTTGCTGTCATAAGAAAGCCTAGGATCTCAGAAAGAAGGGAGCTTAGCACAATATCTGTTCATGTAACAGGAAAAAAACATCTTTCTAAAATTTCTGTCTCTTAGTTTGTCATGAAATGATCACTTTGGCCTTTCCAAAAGGTGTATAAAAATAATAATTAAAATGAAAAAATTGAGTTTCCTTGCAGCAATATGTGGGTTTATATAGTGTTGAAGAATCTCTATTCTCTGTCTTTCTATCTCTCTCCCTCCTTTGCTTGCTCTTCATCAGGAGTCACGGTAGTAAGAGCTCAGGGCACCATCGTTCTAACAGCCGGGACTGTTCGAGCCTGCCGCGTCACGGTCATGACGACCTGCTCCCGCCAAGCACTGAGGCCTTCCTGAATGGCGCTGGGCCAGGCTCCAGTAGCCTGAGTCCCACGCTGCACCCTAAATCCTACCAGCCACCCCAGCCCCTCAACCGCTCGGCGTCATGTGGGAAAGACCTATCCAACCTGCCACATGCCGGCCTCAGCCCCAAGAAGGCCAAAGCCAAAGCAGCCGACTTTGACTTTGGCAAGCCCTCGGATGGCCCCGGTGCCAAATACCTCAAATCCAATGCCTCTCGCCACTCCCAGAACCGCCACTCCTTTGTAGAGGGCAAGACCAACACGCTGCAGGGGGAGCGGGAGAAGCAGGGCCGCCATGGCTACGGCGAGTCCTCGGGTGGAAAGGGCTCTTCATCATTTCTGAGCCTGTCCAAGAGCCATGGGACACTGAGCGATGCCAAATCCGTCAGCAACCTGAGTGACCCACGCCTGCTTCAGGATGAGCTACCCCTACCTTCGTCCCGCTACTTCCCCTCCAGCTGCCTGGACCTGAACGTCAACCTGAACCTGCCAGCACCGGGCAGCCCCAACCTGCGGCACAGCCCCTCAGCCGGAGGCCGGACCAAGCCAGACACCTCGCTCCGCCGCTCCTCGTCACGCCACAAGAGCCAGCAGCAGGACGAGGCCAAAGCCACAGACCCCTTAGACCCTGGAGGGGGAGGAGGCGGAGGAGGACTTTCAGCTGCCCATGACTTCCCCTACGGCCTGGGCTACACCAGCCCCTTCTCGTCCCAGCAGCGGCCACACAGGCACTCCATGTACGTGCGGCGCGAGCGAGGGCGGCCTCATGGAGGGGACACGAGCGGCCTGGCTGTGGGACAGGGGTTGCCCACTCGTGCCAGCAGCCTCCAAATGCTCTCGCCACAGCTGCAGCACCGCACGCTACCCAGACATGTAGGCAGCTCTGCTCCCCGAGACGAGGCCCCTGAGGAGATCAGGGTTAGTCTTACTCTATATGCTCAAAATTCAAACATTTAGCATATTTAAAGGAATAGTTTTGTTCACACAGTTTTCCCATTACCCCAGTTGTGGTTAATTAGCCAAGACATACTTGTTCTAGTTTGCCCTGGAGCTACAATGCTAATGCAGCTAGCAAGAAATGGAAGTCTGTACCTCTCCAATTGCATCATTAAAAGTGCATGCCTAAATCAACACAAATGTCCCTCAGTTTGCATCAGATTGTAAAGTAATCTTAAACAGACTTGCTTATTTGTTTTTTTGACTACGTAAGATTACATACATCATACAGAATCAGAAAAGCAGAGCTGTTTGAGGCTAATAACAATGCTAACAAGAGGGTATAAGCTTCCTTTACTCTGTAGGTACAATTGTCTCATCGCTCCTGTGCAAAATAAAGCACTGTTTTTTTTCTTGGCTGATCAGTTATGTTCAGAATAAGAGGAAAATTGTGTAAATTTGATTTACCTTCTGAAAGAGACAGTTTACAAAGTGTGTTGATATTGCTAATAGTGGATAGAAGCAAGTAACTGCTGATTAGCATTATGCACTTACTTCAATCCACGTTCATCTTAAAGTAATCTAAACTAGACTTGCTAATGTGGTTTCTGACAGTGTATGACATGCTGTTATCCATAAACTGGGCAAAAGTACAGACAAGGCTGTGTGCTATGTGATATGTGATATAATTTTGTCCAGTATTTCAGTATTCGTTATGCCGTTATATTCTCCATTTTGTTCAGTGTATCCTGCATTGCTGTGACTTAGCTATACTTCCATGTATCCACATCCTCCTGCCTCACTGTGGATGAGAAGGACCTTGTGGCACATCCATGACTTGTTAGCTACATAATAGCCTTGTAGTTTCACTGCAAATCTAAAGAAACTAAACAAACTAAGGCAAGTTTGTGATGTTATAGGCATGCAGTGTTCATGATGCTAATTGGTGTGATATGAGCATTACTTCTTAGCTACTTTAGCCTTGTAGTACCATGGCAAACCTAAAAAAGACTCTAGACGCTAGGCTTGTCTTGGATGATGGACTGCACTTGGGGTAATTAGTGTAAAAATGTGTAAGGTTGATTATTCACAAGGGTATTGACGTTGTTAATAATGAAGGGGAGCTAGTAACTGATGATTAGCACTATGCAGATGAGGTCAGGCTAATTGGTGCATATTTTCTTTGGTCAAACTGATTAACGATGTCATTGATTTCTTGCATCCTGCTTGTGACCAAGTCCTTGACCGAGATGTGCCTCTACTACGACCCTCAGGTTTGCATGTTCAGCCTGTATTGTGACCTGTAGTTCTATGCTAAACACTCCATTCACTCCCGTTCAATCCAAAAATACATATTTAAATACTTGTGCAATATTTTAGCCCCTTTCTGCCATGGGACGTATTCCAGTATTCCTTATTCCCCCTCCATCTTGTACAGTGTATCCTGCATTGCTGTAACTTGGCTATACTTCAATGACACATCCTCCTGCTTCATAGTGGATGAGAAGGACCTTGTGGCAGATGTTCTGCATTAGCTCTATGTGGCAGTTTGAAACTAGTTTTTGTTTTGCTACAGTTACACACTATTGATTGTGTATAGCCTATAGCAAGCACTGTCTTAAAAGACTGTGCGGTCTTAAATAACTAAACCCCAGGCCTGGCCTGTTGTTGAATAAGTGCAGATGTCCAATACTTATTTGGATTCTACTTATTTTGGGATTTTTAAAAAGTAGATGCTGTTGAGTGTCGCGGCAAGCGAATACTCTGACGCCTTAGTTGTAGAAGGGAGGACACATCTCTAGCTTCTAGGCCACGAATATACTTCATACAGGTGTGCTAACGCAAATGCTTCAAGCTACACAAACACAGATTAATTCTAAAATGTGTCACAATGCAATTCAAAATGCAACTCAAGTGCTCTATAGCCACGACCAAGCTTGGTCGTGCTGTCTTGTATCGCCAGCATGCTTTCTCCTGGTTAACTGCAACACATTTAAATTACAGATGTTAATACTCTGAAAACACAGATGAGTATTTGCCAACCAAACATCTGCAAGTTGTGAGAGCAAGATACTTATGCAAATGAAAAAATTGAAATATACTCGATTTTATTGAAATTATTTGTAGTTTGTCTAGACGTATCTTGGATTGTGTTTAACGTGGAGTCTAAATATTGCATAAAAAGATTTTGGTTCATACTACCAGTGACTATAAACACAAAAGACTGACAGTGCCATCACAAAATAAATACTTATTAGCAAATTTTCAAGGGCAAGACACCACCAGTTACCCCGAAGTATATTATTGATATCATATTGGCTTAAATGCTGTATTATTTAGTATTTTGGTTAAAACCCTGATTACTGCTGCTTTTCATGCATTTTGGTGGGTTTGAACATTTACTGGCAGGAAATTATAGAATCAACCCTGATGCAGAGCTAAATTGTGATATAAAGCCTTTACCCTGTGAACTGTTTGTAGGTGAGTTTAACCACTCAGAAGCAACTGAACATCACAACCACAACTGACTGTTAGCTCAGCACTCAAGCCTGAAGCCAGAAAAAGTGAATATGCTGGTGTTGGAGGCACAGATAACACATTTACGCACAGATTTTATTTTAACCCTTTTTTTGGACATCAAAACTCTCCTAAAATAAAAGAACCAACTTAATCATGGATTTATTCACTTACATACATGTTCAAGTTTTTGAATACAAATCAACACTTTGCTGTCCCCAGTATATAAAGAGAGCAATCTCAGATCTATGAGGCATTCAGGGAATGTCTGTGTGGGTGAACTATGTTGTTGTGATGTGTTGCAGGCAACCATATATCATGAGCAGCATCCAGAGGACGGGGGATCGTCCAAGGAGAACCGCATGATCTACAGCGAGTCTATGCCCCGCAGGGTCGGCAGCTTCTACAGAGGTTAGAGTGGGCTCACACACAAACACACAAAACCACACACACACACACACACACACACTGAAAAGCTTTAATTGGGCGCAACCTGACAGTCCAAAATTAACCCAATCTACCAAAATTCTGTCTGAAACCAACCCAAACTGCAGAATAGGATGCCACTGATTACCCTTTAGTGACAATGATAGGGTCATTACATAACATCCCAGACATTTTTAGTCTGGATACAGTTTCCATAATGTGCGGCTCACGTGCTAACACATGTTTCATTTAGCCAAACAGATTAAATATAAAAGTCTTCTGGGCTGCATTCATCTGTATTTTCCTGAATCAATTCGCTGTTTATTTTCAGCGCATCCATTTTCTCACATGCGTGGGCCCCGTGAACCTCGGTGCTAAATTCTGTCAACAACACGGTTGACTCAGGCATGCCAAAAACTGTTTTAAGTTGATGAAAATGAGGAGGAAGAGGAAAATAAGAAGAAAAACTAAAGCAGGGGTAAATGCGAGCTAGAATCGGTTAAAACTGTGAGGGGGGCCGTGAGAAACTGAACGATAAATTTGTGTCTGACCCAAGCCCAACATACAGTGGGGTCTGCAAAAAAGGAGATTTTATCAAGTGAAGTGGTATTTAATCTAGTTATTGTTTTTGTCTAATATTAATAATATGTCTAATATTTTTCATTTTGAGATTGTTATAAGCTTATTATAAGATTATTTGACTTATTTCTACACTTTTCGAGCATTATTTCTTACAACAAGCAAAATTCTCTGTCAATATAGTGAGATAATTTGACTTACTAAAATCACTTAAAACAAGTACAGATATCTAGAATTGTGTTAAATAATCATGATAATCTTATAATAATAAATATTAAATATATAGACTAGATTTAAGATAATTTCACTCGCCTAGATAACATTTTTTTGCAGTGTTGAAATGTCTTTTCATTTAAACCTGGAAATGAAAAACAGTAAGATTTACAATTTTGAAAAAAAAATAGGAAAACATAAGGAAATTAGTGATATTGACCTTGTTGAGGCCTTAATACAAAAAGGTATTAATGTATTTATTATTTAGTTTTTAGTCATATCTCTTGCATTAAGCTTGTGGTTAGCAGACTCTTACGTACATTTGATCTGCTCATCAGAGGCTTTTGCACAAACTTGTGGAGTCCATGCAGCTCGAGTGCACACTGTCATTAAAGCAAAATGGGGAAATAGCAAGTATTAAGAAATTATAAAATTCATGTAAATATTTAATGATTCTACTTCTCAATCAATTTGTTATGCTAATGAAAACATTGCTTTAAGTTAGAAAGGAGTGCAGAACAGAAACATTGACTCTAGTGGTCTCAGACTTTCAGACCTCACTTTATATTTGAGAAATGATGTCCAAATTTGACCAAACTTAATGTGAGCAGTCAAGTCCTGATGGGTTCAGACAAATATTTGATGCTCTAACACACACAAGCATTTGTCATAAATTTGAATTCTAAACCCATTCATGATGTGTGTGTGTGTGTGTGTGTGTGTGTGTGTGTGTCTTTATGCTGTCTTGCTGTAGTGCCCTCTCCTAGACCAGATAACGCTTTCCATGAGGGCAGCGGGCAGAGCTCAGGGATGAACATGGAGAGCAGCAGTCACACCAAACGCCAGCCCACTTATGACCCCTGGTGAGCCGTATTAACCCTGCACCGAGCAGTCTGGACAGTCTGGACTTGCTACAATTCACACCCAGCGTTCTTTTCACTTGAAGAACGGTTACTGTACTTCACTGTTAAGTCAGGCAGCTTGTGTCACAGAATGCTAGTCTAAAAAAGGACAATACAGTAGCAAACTGTAAGGCTGAAACTGTAAGTGATTAGTCACTCTTCATAATTAAGATTCAAAAATATTTAAAAATCTGGTAAATTGTCTGTTAACAGTCTAGTAAAAGTCTGGTAACAGTCGTTAAAAGGTCTAGTAAATTGATGTAAAATGTTAATTTAATTAAATTCTATGTTGTTTGAATGAAACAAGCTTTCCAACCAAAGTACATAAGATATATATTTATCAACATAAATATGATTAGCAGAAAGAGTTTGTTAAATGGGGCAAACTGATTTTTGACCACAAAGTAGAAGAGCAAGTATCAGCATGGTATAATTTATTTACAAGGCATTTATAGTACGTTTTTGATGAATCGGTGCATAAAAAAAGAACTGTTTTGAATGAATATGGGCTTGTATGGGCGTCTGTTACTGTTATTTTAGGAGGTTAAGTTTTAATGCTGCATTTGCATATTGGCAGTGGATGGACACCAGCAAACCAGCCACAATGGAAAATCATGCCTCAGCCTGCCTTTTCACATCTCAAATAAACAGTCTCCACTGCTAAAGCTCTCCTCGGATAATAATCCATTTTTGCCTGTAACGGCGTCATCATACCAACATTTGCCTGACTTCATGCTGCTATTGGGCATGTACCACTATGAAGCACAAAACAGCACAAACATGTGAAAGCAGCATAACACTGCAACAACTAGCCCTGCTGTGTGGTGACTGTACTGCGGCTCTCACTGTGTTGTTTTCATGCTTCAGAATGGTGCCATATTACAGCCACCAAGAGAGTTATAGAGGTGAATTCTCTGAACTCAAATGAAAATACATCTGAAATTCTTTACATATGAATACTTTAAGAAATTTTCATGATATACGATAAGTCACAATATTTATTTTTTTAGATATCTGATCAGTTGGAACAGAGCCCTTTTAAAAAATACTATCAAAAACTATGAATTCAGTCATTTTTATTAAATATTTGGCATACTGTGTTGCACTAAATCCAGTAAAATGGGACTAATTTTGATCTCTTTGTAATGAAACATGCAGTTGGTCAGCGTTCTTCAGAAAAGCACATTATATTGTATTGTGGCATAATTTATCATGATAATGACATATATTGTCATATTGCCCAGCCCTAAGTAACAGTCAATAGATAACTTGATAATGGAAATAATCAAAATTAGTTACAATCCTAGCCAGCTAGCAGAGATTGTATGGGCATTAAACCCTTTAACAGGAACCTCCAGGGGTCACTATCTGAGGACAGTGACCCATACAGGATTTACATGTGTTATTAGGACGGGGCCTGAGCCGCTGGATTTGAGTCCGCCAGAGCCAGCCAAAGAGAAGGAGAAGCAAGGCTTCTTCAGAGCAATAAAGAAGAAAAAGAAGAAATCTCAGACGGTCAGTCTTACCTCACCGCACCATGTGGTGTTTCTTGTCTGTCGTCTGATGAGTGTGTGTTTGTGTATGTAATGTAAATATTTATGTTTTTTTGTGTTTTGATTGATTTTCTTTTGTGCTTTTTCAGCTGTTTTTCGATGTATTAAGTTTGCAGATTGTATGGATTATATGGAGGCATGTCTTATGTTCTGTGTGCATGTGTATGAATGTTTACATGTGCACATGCAATATACACTACCATTCAAAATATTAACAGAAGATATTTCTAGATGTTTAAGTTTTTTGACAACAGGAAGTTTTTAAATGATAACTAATCTTGAAGTTATCTACCTCATGATTTGTTCGTCACACTTTAAATTCGAGACATTCTGGATATTGTTTTGTTATAACTATGTTTTACAGCTTTCTCAGTCATTTTAGAATCTTATACAGCTGTGTTCATTGTATTGGACACACATAACATTGCTTACATCTTACTATTAATTATTTTATATCTGACTAATTAAAGATCACCAACATAATACTGTGTTAAAGTCACAGACCACCCTTTATTTATTTAATTTCCAGTCAAAACAGGCATTAAGTACAAGTAATTCACATTTCAGGTGATATTTCTGATGAGATTGGATAAAAGATCCATTTGCATAAGGAAGGAGAACGTCAAAAGGAAATCTCAAAAACCTGAGTTCAAAAAAATTATTAAAAGACACGGAAAAAACGAGTCTCCTAATAACTGTGCAAGACCTGGTAGACCACCAAAACTGTCACTATCAAAGCACCTAAAGCTTTCATCTTTGAGAAAGAGACTGAAGCTCCACTTTTGCTTCAGATCTTAAAATTCACAGGTGTTTCTGTCCATCCTTCCACTGTGAGAGGTCAACTCAATGCTATGAGTCTGTGTAGCTGTTGAGAAGCCCTCACTGAGAAAAGAAAACAAAATCAAACAAAAAAGCTGCTGGTGTTCTTAGAACAATGGACTGACCACCCCCGAGTCCGGACCTCAACATCACTGAATGTCTTAGGGATTACTTGGATCATGAGAAACAGAAAATGCAACCAACTTCTAAGGCTGAACTTTGGAGGTGTGGAAAAAAAATCCTGTAGATTTCTTTGAAAAACTGAAAGCAGTTCTCCTGAAAAGAATGGTAGCGTATGTTTGTGTGAGTGTGAGTGTGTTGCTTATGTGTGTAAGAACACTGAGGGCTGTGTAGAAGTGTGTGTCCTGTGTCCCACTGTCAGTCTTGTGCCTCTTGTATTGCAGGTGGATGCTGGAGAAGGCAGAAGTCCTGTGATCAAGAAATGTCTTTTCCCTCTGTTTAACTCAAAGACTAGCTTTAAACGTAACTCCTCTGAGAGAGTACCTCCCCTAGTGGCCTCACCGATGGTATAAATGTCCATTAATATACCGCCTAATACGATCTCAAATCAGAAAAGGTTGGGATGGTATGTTAATTCAAATTAAAACTGAGAACAGTGATCTGTAAATGAATTTTGATCTGTATTACATTGAACACAATACAACAGCACTTAGCTTTTCATGACCTTTACCTCATGAATATATATTTAAAAAAAAAAACACATTTCAGTTTTGATTCTTGCAACATACTTCAAAAAAAGGTGGGATAGTAAAGCATATCCCATTTTGCAATGTTGTCATTCCTTTTTACAACACTTAAAAGACGTTTAGGAACTGAAGACACCAAGTGATGAAGCATTTCAGGTGTAATTTTGTTCCAATTTTCCTCCAAGCAAGTTTTAAGGTGTACACCAGTACAGGGTCTTTACTGCTGCATTTTGCATTTGAAAATGTGCCACATGTTCTCTTTTGGGGAAGGGACTGCGGACAGGCCAGTTCAGCACCTGCACCCTCTTCCTCCGCAGCCATGCCACTGTAATGTGTGCAGAATGTGGGTTTGCATTGTCTTGTTGAAATATGCATGGGCGTCCCTGGAAAAGATGTTGTCTTGAAGGCAGCATATGTTGCTCCAAAATACTTTTCGGCTTCAATGTTGCATCACAGAAGTGTGAGTCACCTTTGCCAAAGGCAGTGACACAACCCTGTAACATGACAGACCCTGGCTTTTGGGCTTGTTGCTGCTAACAGTCTGGATGGTTATTTTCTTCTTGGATGGGAATATACAGCATTTATTTATTTAGACCAGAAATACTGATTCATCCGACCACAGCACACGTTTCCACTGTATGACGGTCCATCCCAGATGCCTCTGAGCCCAGACGAGTGGACGACACATCTGGACACGGTTAACATAAGGCTTTCTTTTGGCACAGTAATGTTTTAGCTGGCATTTTTGGATGTAACTACGTATTCTAGTGCTTTAGAAAGGTTTGCCAAAGTACTCCTGAGCCCATGTGGTTACATCACTTATAAATGAATGACGGTTCTAGGTGCAGTGCTGTCTGAAGGGTTGGGAAGGGGCAGTTATTCAGCTTAGGGGCACTCTTGCCCCTTAGACACAGAAATTCTCCAGATTCCTTGAGTCTTTTATTTATGTTATGCACCATAGAGGAAATATCCAGATCTTTTCCTGTCTTGCTTGAGAAACATTGTGTTTAAACATTTCAACAATTCTCTCACACATTTGTTGGCAAACTGGCGATCCTCGGCCCGTCTTTGCTCCTAAAGGTCTAGGCCTCTCCTGGTTGCTGCTTTTGTACCAAGTTATGATTACAATCACCTGTTGACATCATCTGTTTCAAGTTACATCATGTTTAATTATTTTATCTTATTACTAGCCCTACATTGCCCCCATCCCAACTTTCTTTGGAATGTGTTGCAGTCCTGAATGGCAAGAAGGGATGTATATTTACAAATGAAATGAATGACCAGACATAAAACACGAAATATCTTGTGTTCATACTGTCTGCAATGAAAGACAAGTCAAAGTAAATTTTAGAAATCACTGCTTTCTTTTTTTATTTGCGGTTTCCATACCGTCCCAACTTTTTCTGATTTGGGGTTGTAACACACCTAACATGCCTCAAACTAAACCTGTGCCATTGCATGCTTCTGACATTATTAATCAATACTGAATTCACAGGGAGAGATCGGTATTTGTATTCCGTTGTCACTAGATCCATGAGGTTGTCCTATAGTTTTTTTGTTGGTCTGATTTCTGCTAAAATGTAGAAGAGCAGTGATCAGATGGTTGCACTCTCTGTTTGTTACATCTTCACTGGGAAAGTATCATTTTTTTGTCTTTTGTGATATTATTTGTATCACAAGTACTAAATATGTTGCATTGTATTAAATTTTATGTATGTATGATAACCATTTTGTATCTTCCATCTAATCTCCTGTACCAAGCGCTAAGGCTGCACAATAATGACAAAACATATTGTGAATATATTGCCAAATATTGTGATACACCTCATATTAAAAAGCAGTGGGGAACCCTCAGGGCCTTTCAGTAAACTAAAAAAAAGGTTTTTTTTTATTATTATTTTTTTTTAATAGGATAGGAAAACAAAAAGGTTACAGTTTTAAACCAGAAAATTGTCCAATCAGGAACTCTGTGGTATCTAGGCAGACAAAGCCAAGCTAGCACTCCCATTGGAGAGGCCTTCTGGAGCTGGACTGAAGGCCTTACATGTTAGATTAATACTGCATTTAGATGGTCAATGGGAGGTTGTATGTTCCAGAACTAGTAAATACGTCATCACTCTGTTTGAGTCGTTGCCCACCACACTGAAAAGAAAGCAAAGAGATCTGTAGAATATATATCCTGTTTTTTCTTTGCTACATTAAAAAGCACATAGACCACATAGAAATGCACCGTTCACTGTCAGGTTTACAATTTTCCCTAGCAGAAGAGATGAAAGGTCACGTTATCCATTGCATCTAGAATCCCAAGTTTCCGACTTGTAAATACGACTTTGTTCGCAACTGCTTGAGTACAATTTACAAGTCGGAAAACCGGTATTTCCCAGTTTCCAACACCACTCAAACTACCACTCATAACTACCAGCAAAATTAGTAAATGACAGAATGACAGGTTAGTCCCATTGTAATCACATGTTGATTTTCAATAGGCGGAACCAATTTTTTAAGGAAACATAACGCTGTGCTTTCTGGAAGTTCTAGATACGTCACTAACTATGAATATGAGCGATAGCCTTACCAGGTTTCAGTTAGGGTTTGGATAAAAAGTAGCTCAGTGTTAGCTTAGTGCTGGCATGCTAGTAGAATCCTATACGGATGCTTGGCGAAATTAGCATAATAGTAGAGGTGTTTTTTTACATTTATGGCCTGAACTGAAGGCATAGCTCTAATAGTCATGGTTCTCCACAGTTAAAAAGATACCCTTGATGTAACATGATTAAGGACTGGCCCTCATTACTTTGCAAAAGTTCTCCACAATTCATCACATGAACCTTTTATTCTTCAAAAAACTGTAAATACTTTTGTGTGGAACACAATTCTCAGGATCAGGATTCTCATAACACATTATGAAAAAATATTAATTTTGTGGCTCATTTGCATATTTGTAATCTTCTGCGATATCAGAATTGCACAGGCCAGTTTGTGATGACTATTAACAAATGATATATTGAGCAGCCTTACTGAGCTCTGATTATTCAACAGTCTAAAATGAATGTTCTGAATTGTAGTTGAACTGTAGTGAGACCTCATAGATCTGGTGTTTCACAGGGCACATATAATGATGTAATTATGGAGGTGATGATGATGATGATGGTTATGTCATTCCAGATTCTAGCTGAGCAGTAGCCACAGCATGTATGATGTGATGAAGCTGCATGTGTAAATGTTGGAGGGGTTTACACTGGTTTTTCTGTGGTCAACTAAAGGTTCTATGCAATTCCAGTTGTGCTGGAGAGAGGCAGACCAGAGACCATTTGGACCAAATAAAAGGAAATACAATTCATTTTTACATTATTTTGTAAGCTTCACCATATTTACAGTTGTATGCAAATGTTTGGGAACCCCAGTCAAATGACTTGTTTTGTTGAATTTGTAAGAGAAAGATACATCCACACATCCTCTACAGAGAACACATTTTAATGCACAGTTACTGCTTATTTGCTGAATTAAAAAAAAACATGGTCTGTGCAAATGTTATGGCACATCTTATGATTTTATTTTTTAAATTTCTTCCAATATGTTAAACTTAGCAAACAAACATAAATTGTGCACTGAAATTTGAAAAATGCCTTTTTTTTTCGTTTGTTTCCATATTGAAGTTATTTAACTTTGACTTAGTAAATCAATAAACTATGTAATTTGACCAGGGGTCTTCAAACGTCTGCATATGACTATAAATTCACACATATTCTGTTCGCGCAAGAAAAAGCATCCAAATTTTTGATATAGATGTAGATGTTACTGTAATAATGGAAAACTATTTTCTACACTTACTAATACAAGTGGGGCTGTGTAGTATGGACTGTATGCTCCTCCACTTTCACCTAAAAGTTGAGAGAGTGTTATGCTGCGTTTGGATGGCCTTGTAACATTTTGAATTTTCGAGTTTACTACAAAGCTGCACCTGAGTGGCACCTGAATGAAAACAACTGCTATTTATCATTTAGTAATGTGACAGTTTTCCAACTGTACAAGCTGACAAGCTATGTCCAAATGCACCCTAGTGTAAAACTGAAAGATGGTCGCTTCTCCGCCTTTCTCCCATCAACTTCTGGGGTATACATGGTGGGTGGTCCTCGCTCGGGATTGGATGCTTTAGTGTGACTTAAAGCTTTTGTGTTGCACATCATTGGTCAGGTCCTCAATGAAGGCCCAGATCAGGTGGTGATGCAGAAGTCATCCAGGTCGTTCGGTCACCAGGGCAGCAGCAGGCACCGGACACGCAGCAGAGACCGCGAGAGGAGCCGGGACAGAGAGCAGGAACGAGAACGAGACAGCGAGTGGCCAGCCGAGAGGATATCTGAAGCCCACTCTCAGGTACTGCAGGGAGACCTCACCTTTACAAAGAAAATATCTACAAAGAACCTGAAGAGATGCACTGAGATTATAAGAATATTCTTAAAGCGGCCTTTTAAAAGAAGTTATTATCATATAGCCCGTCAGTTTATCTTGACTTTCCACATAAATCAAAAGTTCGGCGCTGGCTTTACACAGTAAAACTTTAGTTGCTTGAAATTAACATGAATCTAAATTTCACTTGAGTTGCACAAGTTTTTAAAAACTCCAATTACTAGATTAAATTGATGGATAACTCAATTACTTATATAACCAATCATGACGGCCTGACTCAAGAGCTTAACTTTGTAGCTTAGATTATAATTTTGAGAGGAGGTAAACACTGCAGTTAGCATGCTGGCCCTCAATCAGCACATATGGCTAGTATAATCCCAGACCGCAGAAAGAGAAGCCAAAGTGAAACCCATCTGGCCAGTCAGCTGAAAAGTCTCATCATAGCTGCTTGCTGATCTATGAAATATAGCAATTGAAATATGGAATGACTTTGAGTCTGAGGCGATGCTGATATTTTTGGTCATTTTTGGTGACTCTGCTCTCTTTTTTTCCTCTCAGAACCAGCCGCTGAAGTCTCTTCGCAAGCTCCTTCATCTCTCCTCATCCTCCTCCAACCAACCTGCCACCCCAGACCTGCGTTTCCCCCACTCTAACCCAGGTTCCTCTAAAGGGGGGAGCTTTGTGGAGTCCCGGGGTCATGTGGGAGGGGGAGGGGGGTCGAGCCAGGCCAAATCCCGTCAGTACCCTCTCCCAGGTCAACTGGAGTCCACGTGGCACTCGGCAGCTCTGGCCCGGGCCGAGGGAAACCCATACCCAGACCAGCTGGCCTCCAAAGCAGGCCAGAACGGACATGGATTCGGCCGCCCATCTCGATCACGGATGCCAAACCTCAACGACCTGAAAGAGACCGCTCTTTAAGCTGAGGGAGCGCAGAAAGCTCTTGAACCACAACGCCGCTCAGAGGCCTGGAGGATTAGAGAGTGAGGGACACTGTTCTTGACCTCTCTTGAATGCTAAGGGTAGGCCTGGACATGTCTTAATTTTTTTTTAATCTTCCATATTTAATAGAATTTGTAATATTATTTATGGACTTACTGTATTTTTTGTTATTGGATAAATATAATTTCAATGAAAATATACATATATATATATGTTTATGTAAGCATAAGATGTATAATTATTCTAGTTATAATACATTATTCTGCATATAATTCTTATATTTGGTTAAGGATGTTGAATGGTTTGTGTATGAAATATATAAGTTTATAAGAAGAGTATCATAATAACAAACGCTGCAACTTTTTGTGTTACATTTATTTTTAAACATTGGGTTAAACATAGGAGCTAAGAGCCAGATCTAATAATAGACTGACGTTTATCACTTGTTAGCTAATAAAATGCAACAGGCAACATGTCTGAAAGCTTTTAAAGGACAAGCCAGAGTAAAGTTCAGTAATTCTGACTCCTACCAAATCCTGCAGCGTCATACCACCACCTGCTGGCCGCAGTCGTTCACTGCATACTGTACACATCAAAAGTTTGCATAAGTTTTAAACAAAAAAGCTTGTTCATATGTGTAAAAGCCAGACTCCATTTGTATATTCTCAGGTTTAGTGTTATTTAAACACTGTAAATACTATTTTATTGCAATATTTTGAGACCAACACAGGAAAAATTAGTTTTTAAACTCCTTTCTCTTTAGAGATATAGTCTGAATATATGATTGTGTGGAGGAAAGTAGGTTCAATAATCAGCTTACTGCAATATGTAAACAATAAATAAATAAATAGCCACCACATCATCAAAGTAAAGCAGACTTTCTTTGAATAAGGCAAAAATATTTCAGTAAATACTACTATTGACTTGAGTGGTAGTAAGTAGTTACACAAGATGTCAAAAGCCAAGAAGATCTGTAAATAGCACAGAAATTGTGAAATATGCATCCGAAAATAAACTCTTTAAAGTGAGAGTTTGCAGGCTAATTAGCTGGATTTGGACTAATTGCTTCACTATTGTAAATATATTAGGTTTAGTTTGTATGGCATTAACACCAGCATCACACTACATACATCAGGAGTTCCTCAAACGCCAGAGACCCAGAGAGTTTCACAGCCTGCTTACTGACACACTTTTACTCCATCACGAATCTATAGCCTTAACTCCTGTGTTTCTCAGAACAAAATAAGAGCTCTACGCAATGTTGTCAAATGACTTCGGTTTTCTTAGGCTCTGGCTTTACACACTGAAACTTTTTTTGCAACTTTAGTTGCTTGAAATTTGCATAAAATCTCAGTTGGGTTGCATAATGTAAAATGTCCTAAAGCTCAGCTGCAACAGCTCTAAGTGTCTCAACTTCATGGACCTAATTTCATGAAATAGTCAGTCAAAATGCCAGTAATGTGACCAAATTGAATGACATACTTTTAAACCACGGATTTCACCGGGTCAGTGGACAAGAAAATAAAACAGAGGTTAATCTTACCAGTGGCGCCAACTATTGCTAATAGTGTCTATTTGTGCCACGATTTGTTCTTCTAGCATGCTTTTATTGTGATTTAAGTAGCTAGAGTCATTCTTCTCTTTTGACACCTCCTAATTTTACACAGAGTTTAGATTAATTGAGATCCAAATGATGAAAATTACTACAGAGACCAAGACGGCTAATTAATTTCCAAAGGTTTAACTTTATAGAGAGAACAATATAGTGCATCAAAAAATACAAGCTGCTGTTTTGGCTAATCAGTGGAGTAACTGAATGTGTTGCATGCAACTTTGAGTGTTTTTGAATTGATTTGTGTAACTGTCAAGTTGCATGAAAATCATGTTGCAGGCAACTCACAACGTGCAGGTAGTTGCATGAAAGTTTTACCATGTAAAACCAGCCTTAGGTTGGCTTTACACTGAAATTTTCATTAAACCTTAGTAGCTTGAAATTTATAACTACTAAATTTACCTGTGTCGCATAGTATATAGCATCCTGCAACTCAGTTGTAACAGTTGCGCTCCTCTCAGCTTCATGAAATAAGTTTCATAAAACAGCTGTTCAGGCCACATCATGTGATCATGTTGAACAACATTTTAAACGATAGATTTACAGAAGAGAGGGCTGAAACACGCGGGTCGATGAACCTGCCATGCATCTAGGACAGGAAGAGCAAGGCATCAATCATAATCATAACTTAATGGATAATTAATTATTCATTTTTAAAGGCTTAACATGCACAGAACAGATTAAAATGATCAAATATAGATATTTTCTGGCATTTTAAACAATCTCAATGACTGGAAAAAACAGCAACAAAGTTGATGCAAATATGCAAATGTAAATAACACGTCACGGATCGCTTTCTATATATCGAGAACGATATCACATATCAAAAATACAAACTAGTGGAGTAATCAAACGTGTTGCGTGTGACTGATTTCTTTTAAGTTGCTGTGTGTAATTGCCAATTTGCACCAAAGTATGTTGCATGCAACTAGTTGCATGAAAGTTTCACTGTGTAAAGCCAGCCTTAAAGTGTTTTTCAACCTAACGTTTGCCTGTATATGTGATTTGTATGCCATGGACAATAATTTTAATGCTTAGTAAAGGGTATTTCTTACAATTTCTTACTCTTACAGTTGAAGCCAATGAGCAGGTACTGAAGCAACTTCTATTGTAGAGCTGGCAGTATACTTTAATTAATTTTAATTAAAACAATGTCTTTTTAGGCCAAACAACACAGTCACTGTGTAGTTTGGTCTGAGGCCTCCCACTGTCTGTGATTGGTCCTAATCACTGCATTATTCATTCTGGAACCTCCCCAGACCATGATTGGTCCTAATCCCCATGTCATTCGTTCTGAAACCTCCTTTGATGTCAGTGGGTCCCATGCATAAAGTGGAGTTCTAGTGCACTTCTTTAAGCTTACTTACAACATACTTATGACAAGTGTTCAGCAGTAGTTCGGCGATACTTCGATTGCATTTCATTCTTTCATCATTTAAAGTGTACTGCTGGCTTGATTTTGAGTATACACTGACTGGCCGCTTAAGGACACCTCCTTGTCTCACACTCTTTGTCCATTTTATCGGCTCTACTTACCACGCAGGTGCACTTTGTAGTTCTTCAGTTACGGACTGTAGTCCATCTGTTTCTCTGCATACTTTGTTAGCCCCCTTTTACCCTGTTCTTTAATGGTCAGGACCCCCACTGGACCCTCACAGAACAGGTATTATTTGGGTGGTGGATCATTCTCAGCACTGCAGTGACATTGATGTGGTGGTGGTGTGTTAGTGTGTGTTGCGCTGGTCTGAGTGGATCAGACACAGCAGTGCTGCTGGAGTCTGTAAACACCTCGGTGTCACTGCTGGACTGAGAATAGTCCACCAACCAAAAATATCCAGCCAGCAGCGTCCTGCGGGCAGCGTCCTGTGATCGCTGATGAAGGACTAGAGGATGACTAACACAAACTGTGCAGCAACAGATGAGATACTGTCTCTGACTTCACATCTACAAGGAGGCCCAACAAGGTAGGAGTGTCTAATAGAGTGGACAGTGAGTGGACACAGTGTTTAAAAACTCCAGCAGCACTGCTGTGTCTGATCCACTCAGACCAGCACAACACACACTAACACACCACCACCACATCAGTGTCACTGCTGAGAATGATCCTCCACCCGAATAATACCTGCTCTGTGGTGGTCCTGTGGGGGTCCTGACCACTGAAGAACAGGGTGAAATGGCGCTTACAAAGTATGCAGAGAAACAGATGGACTACAGTCTGTAATAGTAGAACGATGAAGTGCATCTATATGATAAGTGGGGCTGATAAAGTGAACAAAAAGTGTAGAAACAAAGAGGTGCACTTAATAATGGTCATGTATGTGTCTATACATATATATATAAGCATATGTGGACATATGTGGAAATTATTGTCCGTGGTAATCAACCCTACAATATAGATGGAGCAGACTGAGATTAGGTTGAAAAACTGGAGTATTCCTTTAACAGTGCACTTTGAATACAGTTCTCAGACGAAAAGCTTGTGTCTCTTCCCACGATGTGGTGAGTATTATCGCACACACTGTACAATAACGATCGCAGCATCTGTAACTTAGGGTATCACGACCTATCTAGGAGTCTTTTGCATCATATTTGTGATATATATGCAGTCAATATATTCCAGGCACTGCGACTTAAGACGTGACAGTGGACCTCTGTCTCTGTTGTAAACTAACTGTAACCTGGGATAAAGGGTTTTTACCATAGACACTGGGTGTATTACACTAATACCAATGTGTGACTATTCATTTGGTTATATTTATAGCAGCGTATCAGCTATTGAAAACAAGTGAAAAGATTTTATTTGATCTAATAGAGACATGACATGGTAGCATAGATTATTAATGTTTCATCTGCAGCAGCGAGTATTTTTTTTTTTTCACAGGTTAATGCCGTTACTAGGGAGACGCTCAGTTCTCAAACTGTTTCTTGTTTACACCTGTTATGAACAGTAATCTCTCTCAATAAACCTTGTGGACTCTGTTTTCATTTCCAAAAGCGGAAATCGGGGTCATTCTTCAGCGTTCCTGCTGCATTTCCTCCGATTTATCTTTGCCAGTGAATCATTCTCTACCTCTCGCTCTCTCTGGCCACCTCTCTCTCTAAATCATTAGCATTGTCACTGTAAATAATGAATATTCAGGTTCATCTGCCCTGTGACATTCATTAATATGCGACATCTTAAGATTTAAAGGAACAGTACACCAAATTTATGATGGCTAGATATGTGTTCTAAGACAAAAGTGTATGTAAATGGTGTTGCCAAGTACGTTTTACTTCCTTTAATGCAAATACATCATCTACGTTTTGTGAATCTTTCAACATACTGTACATGTTCAGTCGCTTCAGGTATTATCCAGGGACGTTAGGAATGAGGGTCTTCATCCAAAGCAGAGAGCACATTGTTTTGCAGATTTCAGAAGGTGTTTGATGAAATTGTGGGCTTCCCAGATTTCACCACTGGAAAAATATTCATCTGGAAATTATGTGCACGTTTTAAATGAACTTGTTTCAAATGTGTACATTATTTCCATCATTTTTTAATTTAATTTCCAGTCGTTTAAAGCAATTAAGTACAAGTTACTCGTTTTTCAGTGTCAGAAAAAAATAAGAAACACATCTAATAGAAAATTACACTGACGCCTCCAACATTATGTATAATATCAAATCTGTCAGTAGTTAATTTGTCCGTTCTTTACTTTTGTGCGCTCTACTGCCACTCTTTCATCCTTTTATTCTTACAATCAATGTGAATCGGAAATCAGAACACATTTTTCTTCCTGAACGTGACTCCATGATGATTTCCAAGTGAAACAGGAAAATATTTGTGGACAGGACATGATTTTATCTATCAGGGTTTGATTGGATCATGAAAAGTGAAACCGACACCAAGTCATGGGGGACTCCCCTGCAACGCTATATTTAGCAGAAAAGCCCAAAAAAAAAATCTGATTTTGTCCATTTTTTCTCTACATTTGTGTATTTTATGTAGTTTCTCACATAATATAACATCATTTATTATTGGTTGAAAACTTTTCTTTTTGCTTTTCTTACATTTTCGCAGCACAAGAAGAAGAGAACACCATCAGGTTTTTGTAGAAAAAATATAAAATCAGTATATTAGCTACATGTATGTGAGGAAGAGATGGCCTGCCTGTGTGTGTGTGTGTGTGTGTGTGTGTGTGTACATATCACCCCATCACTCGTGTTTCCAGTAGAAAAGACCACTCAATACTATGAGTCTGAAAGGATGTGTAGCTGTCAATAAGCTCTTACTGAAAAACGGAAACAGACCAAATAGAAGAACATTTGTGCTAAAACACCAACACTGAACACTAATACTAGACATCTGAGATGTAGAGTAAGGTTTCATAGACTAATCAGTCTAAATTTGTCATTGGGATTACTTGGATTGTGAGAAGCAAAAAACCAACCAACTTCTAAGACTGAACTTTTGTAGGTGTGGAAAAACATCCCTGCAGATTTCTTTGAAAAGCTGAGTCCCTGGAAAGAATGGAAGCTGTAATAATGGTGAAGTGTGGACACACTAAATACTGAACATGCCATTATATTTAGTTCTTTAGGCTTCTGTGGATTTGTAATCTGATTCATGCTTTTTTCCTGATGCGGAAAAAATAATATTTTGTATTTAATGGCTGGATAATTAAATTGACAGGAATCAGGGTTGCACAACTCTGGTCCTGGAGGGCCAGTGTCCAGCAGAGTTTATTGGTTCCCCTACTCAGACACACCCACTACACCTGTCAATTTACAGATGAGTTGAATCAGGTATGTTTGAGCAGGAACATCAACAAACTGTGCTGGACACCAGCCCTGCAGGACTGGAGTTGTGCACCCCCCTCCTAATATAAATGAAGGGGTGGTCTCTGACTTTTGCACAGTTCTTTACTTCAGTTTACAACCTTTTTGCAATAATAATTTTCATATATTTTATTCATGTGGGAAAAGATGTACACATTTGTATCAAGTAAATTCAATGTATTGCTTTTTTCTGTGTACACTCACATTTACATACACACAAATTGACAAAACACAGTAATACACTTTTCATTCACTCAGCCTGGATGTTACATCTCTCTCATCATAATGACTATGTGATTCATTTGATTACATTTGCTGGAACGAAATGTCAACCCTTTTGGGAGGTTAGTAGACGATAACATTGGTTTTGTTTGTTTTCTAACGACACCCTAAAGTCACGTACAACGTGAGTAAGAGAATATAGTCCTAAAACACTGGGATTGATCTCTGGCAGCCTTGTTCAGGTGCATTTGTTCATGCACGTGAGCACCTCCATGCGGATGGCGATGCGCGTGTGCCATCCCAGAGGCAGCAGGCGGATGTAGCGTGCCACGATGGGTGGCCGCAGCAGGTTCTGCACCATGGAGGAGCGGTCAGAGTTCCCATAGAACACCTGAGAGAAGAGAAACAGACCAGTGAGACAGACACAGTCTTTTATTTCTCACTTTCACTCCAGTGACACCCAGCACAGCATGTCTTTGTTGAATTAACCCTTACAAGTTGCAGTTGTGGTTACTTGTGGAGCTTTTCCTCCTGTAATATGATTGGCTAGCCGCATTTTCTCTTTTTCTCTTTGATTGGCTTGTTAAAGTGTCCATTCAATTTTCTCTCCTGCAATCTGATTGGCCAATTGAATTATCAATCCTGCTCCCTGATTGACTAATTGAATTTTCTCTCCTGTAGCATGATTGGCTAACTGAATTTGTTTGATTTTCTGTCCTGCGATCTGACTGGCTAGTTGAATGATCAAACAATCTGATTCACATACTGAATTTTCCCTGCTGCCCTCCTGTGCTATTTTTTAATTCTGCAGTCTGATTGGCTAATCCTGCATTTACTTTGGTTGGTTGAATTTACCACCCAGTTGTGATTTGCTAGTATTTTCCCTCTGGTAATCTGCTATAGCGCTATGTAACTTTGGTGGAGTGAGCATGAAACCTCTCAGAAGAGCTGCGTAACGCTTTACGGCACCACGTCACACACAAACAACTATGGCTCTTCAGCTAGCTATAAGAAGAAGCTCTGTATTTCCTGAATGAACATCATGGCAGAGGCTGCGAAGAGGCTGAAGAAGACATCAGAGGAAGTGAGGAAGAGAAAAAGAGAGAGTGACCAAGCAAAGACTGGAATAGAGTTCATCTTAGACTGGATTTTACTTGTTGGCGAGAACTAAAAGAGATACAAGGATGCAAGACAGATGCTGAGCTGGCCTTCTTCCTGTTGGACTAGTAAGTATAATAACTTATTGGCTGGCTCACTTTGTCTTGTGTTGTTGCACTTGCTTGATGTTTTGCTGTGTTAGCAAAGTTGACGACTCCCTGGTTTTTGATCATAAGGTAAGTCAGCCTATTTCAACAGAGGTTTAGACGCTAACTAGACATCCTGAGGTGATGTTAGCAAACTTGCTAGATAACACACTCAGACATCAGTACTGGTAATAAGTGCTCTTGTGTTGGTTGCTGTCTAGCCATGTTGGCTAGTTTGCCACCCAAGTTTCACTTTGTGACAATGGAATCCAAGTTTTTTAAGCTTGTTTTAGTTGACTAGCAGTTCTTCGTCCATTAGCATTACTCAGCATTCTTATGTTATCATCACGTGTTAGCAGCATATTGTCTCTGGTTCATGTTTCATCAGTCTTTCTCAATCTTATGCATAATAACATTGAAAGTTATTTGACTGGCTGGTTGAATTCTCCCTGCTGTAATCTGATTAGCTAGTATCAGCCCTGTAATTTAGTTGGCTAGTTGAATTTTCATTAAACATGTACCACTGAAAACATGTAGGCATGTAGGACCATATTCATGTTTCTCACCCTGTTGTTTCCTGTCTGGTCTTTGTAGTAGATCCAGTTGAGGTGCTCAAAGGTGCGGTACTGCAGGCTGTACTTGGTCATCCACTCATCTGCATCACAGCGGCCCTGCGTGAGAATCCCTGAGACCACTCGCACCTCCAGCAGGTCAATCTGCAGCCACTGGTTAGTGTCCTGGAACTTAGACAGCCATGCACAGCTGGAGAGAAGAGAATAGGAAGGACAGAATAGAATATTATAAATCATTTTCAAATCAAGTGTGATTTCTCAGTTACTTTTCATTTAAGGAAAATGCTGTATATGCATTTGTAACAATTTTGGTTATAAAGAGTTTTTGGGAAAAAAAACAGTGAATGTTAATATAATAATATAATATTAATGTAAATACTTAATAATGCTAATCATTTTTATTTCTCTAATAAATTTTGTGCTGATGAATAAAGCATTGATGTTTCTTGCATGTATTAAGCCCACTCCCAACAACATCATCATCATTAAAAAAGAAAATTTTCAAACATGGTCTATAATGAGTTTTGCATCGAAACCCTTCGTAAACACTCAAAGTAATAGCAAATTTATGTAAAGTGTCTTCTATAAATATCTGGCAAGCCATGAACCACTTAGAAACCTCTTTATTTTTGTGTTATGCCAGTCAGTGTTGGCTAAACTGTGTAAATTTGTGGATTTCGAGAGTGGAGTGCAGATAAAGCTTATGTGAATATAGCTCAGGCCAGATACAGAGACTCACCCGTATCCCTGGCTGTTCAGACGGGCTTTGCCAGGCGTCCAGGCAGAGAACCAGCCCACATACTGTTCCTGATTAGAGCAGGCGATCTGGTCTGAAGTCACCAAGCCAGACTCGAAGCCCAGGGGCTTGTGGTAAGGGCATTCTGAGGACACACAGAGAAAGAAGCAGTGAGGGTTTGGGTTTCCACACACAGATAAACCACTCACTGAATTACTCCACAGTTTACTCCACATTGTTCAGTGAAAAGCATTTTGAGCCTCGTAGCCTCCTTGCCTTGAAACCTAGTCTTTTCACTCATAGCTCGCTGAAACAAGAGGACATTTTCTGTCAGACGTGCGGACAGACTTTCAATCAATACCACATTTGCATTTGTAAGTAGATGAAGAGATATTTTATTTTAATTTGATTTTTTGTTGAAAAAACATTGCGTATCATTTTGCCTTGGTTCTCTCATTTCATGACATTGAAATAAATGGAAAAAGTCAAACCTGTCAATGCAGAATGTTTGGTGGGTAAAATCATTGTCCATTTTATCAGGAACATCTACCATATAAAAGCCAGTTACTGTCTATAGTCCTTGTGTTGCTGCACAATTTTTCAGCCCCCCCTACTAAGCGACCACCATAGGACTTCTACTGACCAGATGTTATTTGGATGGTGGACAGTAAAACTCCAGCAACCCCACTACGCCTGATACACTCATACCAGCACAACACACAATACCATATCACTGCCATGGTTGTGTCACTGCTGTGCTGATGATGATGCGCCACCCATTTAACATCTGGTAAGTGGTCGTCCTGTGGTGGTCCCATTCCACTGATGTTTGGGGTGGAAGCGGGCTTATAAATGATACAGTAACAGGGCTTCAGTCAGTAACTGTAAATCTTCAACCTTCACCTATATTGTAGGTGTTTCTGATAAAATGGCCAATGAATATATATGTATAATGTATAATATATAAATATTTGTGTGATGTTTTTATTATTTTGTACATTCCCTGAAAATTGAATGTACATTTGAATAGCACAGTAGAAGGACAGGAATAACTCTAGACTTCTACAGGTTAACCAGGACCATACTTGCTCTGTACTTGGATGTCCAGCACCACATGTCGAGTCCAGCCTTTATCACATAAATAAAAATAAGGAAACAGTTGCCTATTTACTCCAGGCTTGAGATGCAGCAGCCACCTTAGGCTGCTCAGGTGACCTTTCCAAACATTGATAATTACACAGAGCTGCAGTACATGTGTCCTCACGTGTGCTCTCATGCTGGCACTCAGGTTACTGTGGTGTGCTTTGGGTACAGAGGGGAACACAGGCCCTATTCTGAGCCCTGTAATCTTACCATCACATCACTGCATTAGTAATGAGATTACATGCTGGCAGCCTGCCTTTTCTCTACCATTACCCTCTTCCTTCTGACTCGCTCTCTACCCTCTGCATTCTTCTGCAGTACTCTAACCGTACTTTTACCTTGCACGCCTAAAACCATGGTTATAGCAACTGTTCCTGTATAATACATGAACCATCATCATCATCATCATCATCATTTAATGTTAGTAATAAAATGGAATGTTCAATTATTTGTTTAACAAAATAAACAGAATTAAGCTAAAACACTACTTAAAGCGAAAGGACTTTAGTCTAAAGCTCAGGTCAGTCAAAAGTTTTGAACTCTGACTTTGAACCAACTCAGCAGAGTGATCCCTATAGGACAGGTTTCCTAAGGATTAAGCCTAGTCATGCATTTTATTTATTTATTTATTTATTTATTTATTGCTTTTCCTGTAGTGCCCTCGCACATGAAAGTAAATCTGACAGGTTTTACACTTTTAAAAAAATCTGTTTTACAAAATCTGCTGCGCTATGCAGTGTCATCATAGTGACAGTCAATACCGGACTTGACTAGATTGCTCCGCCCAGTGTTATTACAGTGCCAATACAGCTGCCTACATTTAAGACCAGTGTACTAATTTTGCATGCGCTTCAGAGCCCTGCTGGTGACATCCTGGGTGCAGTGTCACCTGGCATGCAGTCCATGAGGCGACTGTAGGCAGGTGATGGGGGGACGGAGGTGGTGTCTAGAGGTGAGGTTATGGTGGGCTTGCTGGGCACAGACTCCGCTTCACAATCACACGTGCACGCTCTCCCGTTAGCTGAACCCGTCCATGGTTCCATCACCTGCTGCTCTTCCTCCTGCTCCTCAGCTTCGTCCCCTTCCTTCTCTTCCTGTCTCACACATACAAAAATTTGCAGAGGAAACACCAACTAAGAGGTGTAACCTTGTAATAGTCTTCAACATCATTGACATTTCCTTGTTTTTTATCTTTTCTTTAATGTCTTTAACGAGCCATAATTCATTTTTCACAACCTCTCTTTATCCGTTACAGTTAAACAGGCTGTTTTCATTACTGTGCCTTTAAGACTGATATATGTAAATACCAATATTATAAATGTACATCTGTTCTGATTGGCTGCTCTGTAAAGCAGTCCAGGCTGAAAGGTGCAGTAACAACACTGCTTATCACTTCAATGGGAATGGGTGGGCTAAGCTGCTGAGCTGACATCACAACCATGATTCATTCAAAATGGCAGCTTAGTTTCTCTCTACAGATGGACTGGGGGAGTGAACGGTATGTTTTGAAACTTTAACAGTGTTTACATACTACATCAAACAGTTTATTTTAAAAAAAAAAAAGCAGAGAAAATTTGGTTGCATGTGATATTAACCTTGGGATGATAACAAAGTGCCTGATCTAACACAATTTACTGCTTTTTCTTTTTTTTACATGCCAGATTTTAATTGCTACAATCATTCTAATTTATGCCACATTCAAAGTATTATAACACATTTTCAGTCTGGCAAAGAATGCTGAGGAATATGCAAATAAAAAAAAATCTCCAGTACATGAGATCTGCTCTCCAGTAGAGTAATATGGCTTGTCCAGAAGAAGGGCCAAACCAATGTGGAGAACAATGGATGTTACCACTGTTACATTCAGTCCGTGCAGACTATAGTTATCATTACAAATTATTAAGTAATATTAGAAACTTAAAAGTTGGTAATTGTATAGAAATGTTATTACCATCAGGGAAAATGTGTATGGTAAGGCTTTGTAACAAACACAAGTAGTACTTCATAACTGCATTTGGATCATAAAAATATTGCTTATCACAATAAAATATTGCTTATCACAATAATTCTGCAGACCATAATTGTTTTTTCTAAATGTACATCCTCGGCCAAGCTTATGTGACACAGCCCCTTTAGACTTCATGTTCTCTCAAGTTATTTCTTGCTTATGCACTTTCAGCAACATAAAGTCTTCAGTTCTGCAGTGAGACCAGACTTAAACATTCAAGAAATCTGCCTCATAATAGTGTTTAACTAATTCACTGACCCACCGTTGGTCCAAACTGACTGACCCACCGCAGAACTGTGAAGGAAAGAAGCGAAGGCTCTGAATGACAGAGAAGGAAAAAGCACTTACCTCCTGGCTGTCCACTCCAATAAACACTGCACAGGCAACCCAGACCACGGCAGGAGAAAGAAAGGATAGAATGGGAAGAGTGAGAAGAGAGAAGAAAGGGAGAGATGGACTAATCTTATGACAATGCTAACATTTTACTCTTCAGTTTCCAAAATCCAATTTACAATTGAGTCCGTTTATAGAGCTACTATGAGAGTAACTATGCCTCTGGCAACAAAGCTCAATAAATAAGCCTAAATCACGGCTGTTGCTAAAAGACTTTGGGATACTGAAAGGTTTTAAAGGATTGGTTCGGTCAAAAAAGCTAATGTTGCTAACAGTGAATAAGAGCAGATAACCAACAACTAGCATTATGCAGATTGAGCCATAGTGGTTTCTAGCTTCTGTTTGTTAGCCATCTTAACATGTTGGGTCAAGCTATTCCTTTTTGTATAGGACATGTCCATCTGCAGTATACTGGCCACTGAGGCCTTTGCTGTCCTGCTACCCGTTAGAGCTACACACACCGACACACACACTTTACCATCAGTTAAGAGCAGCAGGGTCAGCAGAAACACACTCAGAGCCTTTAACTTCATCCTCCTTTTGAGTGCTGGACTGCTGGACTTCTGGACTGCTGGACTGGACTGCCCAGCTCACTGCCCAGGCAAGCAATTTGGATTACAGTAATCCACAATCACAAGGCACTGCTCAACTCATCCAATAATACTCCTTATCTCCCTTTCTCTCTTTCTCTCTTCTCTCTTTCTGACGTTTGGCCACACCACCAGCGCTTACATCCAGCAGACCATGACGGAAAAAATGCTGACAAGACAAATGATATTGACTGCAGACACAGCGAAAGCTGAAAAGGCAACTCTTAACTCTTATTCACCGTAGTTCACATTTCATTTTAGATTGAGAGAAATAAATGAAGTTAACCCAAACAAATCAACAATGAAAGAAGTTTGCCACCACTGAGTCCATTAGAGTCTCCAAAAAGGCACATATTAATATTCAGACTGTATTTACAAATCTGTTTCCAAAAACATTGGGACGCTGTGCAACATGTAAATAAAAACAAGATGCAATGATGTACAAATCATTTAAGCCATATATTTAATTGAAAATAGTACAAAGATAACATATTAAATGTTCAAAATGACAAATTTTATTGTTTTTTGAAAAATATATACTCATTTCGAATTTGAGGCCAGCAACACGTTCCAAAAAAGTTGGGACGGGGGCATGTTTACCACTGTGCATCACCTCTTCTTGTAACAACACTCTGTGAGCGTTTGGAGTAGATGAACTGCTGTAGTTTTATAAGTGAAATATTTTCCCACTCTTGTTTGATTTAGGATTTCAGCTGCTCATCAGTTCGGGGTCTCCTGTGTCATATTTTTCGATTCAAAATGCAGCAAATGCTTTCAGTGGTGACAGGTCTGGACTGCAGGCAGGTCAGTTTAGCACCCTGACTCTTTTAATACAGAGCAATGCTGTTGTAATACATGCAGAATGTGGGTTGGCTGAAGCAAGCAAGACCTTCCCTGAAAAAGACGTCATCTGGATGGCAGTATATGTTGCTCCAAAACCTGTATATATCATTCAGTATTAATGATGCCTTCACAGATGTGCAAGTCACCCATACCATGTGCACTAATGCCCCCCCCCCAATACCATCACAGATGCCGGCTTTTGAACTTTTCCATGTCGCATTGGTCTGTCTTAATGAGCTTGTGTCCAGAGAAGGCAGTGGCGTTTCTGGTTCCTGTTTACATATGGTTTTTTCTTTGCGTGGTAGAGTTCTAACTTACAATTGAGATTATTGTGTGGAATTAACTCCATCGATTCCCATGACTTGGAATCAAACAGCTCTCTAGCTACATCTCTGTACGTAGCCCTGCTGTGATTGGCTAGTAGTATCCTGCTTCCTGTGCTGTGATTTTCCAGTAGTTCATACTTACCACAAGTAATAGCCTGATGGCTGTCAAAAAATGCATTTCTTTCTTTCTATCTTTCTTTCTATCTTTCTTTCTTTCTATCTTTCTTTCTTTCTTTCTTTGTTTTAATAAGTAATTGTGGAGAATAAAGCTGATTAGGTTTTAGGTTAATACAGCAGTTTGCATTTTAAATTTAAAGTGTTCTAAAGACAATGCAACAGTGTTGTTCATGCTAATCACTATTTTTAAAAGGGGAATTCCACCAATTTTTCAAAATATCTGCATAATTCAGTGGTTGAGATGTAAACAGAGTCATTCAGAGTGGTTTGATATGAAATCATTCACTGTAGAGAAACTTACAGACTCTTTTCTTTCTGGTGTGCTGATAGGAACCAGGGGTCACAATGTCTACAACACAAATATGACCATTTCATTTACTATCCAAACCCACCAGTGAACCCACACGTGTGTTCTGAGTTTTTATATGTGATGATGATGATAAAATGTTTGGTTGATTTCTGAACATATGGACCGATGGACATTATTTGAACAGAAATGGTGATTTTAATGAACAGCTGTGACTAGCATGTGATTTTTGTATAGACCCTCTAGTGGTGTGAAGTTGTCACTGCATGATTTCCATCTAACACTTTTCACAGAGTGATTTAGTAACTGTGTGGTAAAATGTCAGTGAAAAGTGCAGCATGTCTGAATAAAACTGCTCCTCTGCTAAACTGCCATTCCAGCAGGATTTGAGATTTGGGAGCCAGTGTGTGATACCCAGTAATAGAGGACGGCAGTGCCTAATTCTTCTGCTTTGTCCCTCTTGGTTTTCCTCTTTGTTTTGTTTAATGAAGGTCTGATTACTCTCCTGAAATTCCTCTGCTCTGCTCTGTGTCTTCAGTTTAATTTAACTATTTTTCTATATTAAAAAGAAATGTTAAGAGGAACCAAAGCTCAAAAGGAGAACCTCCCCAAGAGCAAAGTGCAAAATACAGGGGTCTGGGACTCCCTAATTAAACCCTTGAATGTCTCAAAATGAAAATTCTGAGGGGTCCTTGAAAATAAACTTTTTATGAAGCTATGATGTCCATTAGGGAAAAATAGACACTCAAATACAAATTCGAGAAGGGTCATTTTTTGCACAATCAGTAGCTTCTGTCTTTGGTATCCTTAACTAACTAGAGATGCAGCACTGGTCTACCTCAGAGTGGCGATGGAGCAAACTGGTTCACTCAGTTGGTCCTTCATAGCCTAGCAACTGTAACTATGCCCTCATTCTCCATACCTCTGAAAAGCTTTACAGTGCGCCGCAGCATATTTGTAAATCTGAAAGACATTTCAGACATTTTGTTGCCACTGAAACCAGCTACAGCGCTGCCATTGCTATGGCGAGTGAGTTTGCAGCCATGCTAGCCAACACTGGAGTAGCCAGCCTACATGGGACCCCCAAATTCCAGGGGGTATTTCGTACATTTCCTAAAAGAATGAGGAAGAACCTCTGAGAGGAACCAAGACTCAAAAGGAGAAACTCCCTAAGAGCATGTGGAAAAACTGCTGAGAGGAAATAACACTCAAAAAAACTCCTTAAGAGCACAAGAAAGAACTACTGAGAGGAACCAAGACTACATAGGACAAAAACACCTTAACAGCATAAAAAAGAAATAATGAGAGGAATGAAGACCTGAAAGAAGAACCTCCCTGCAGTCACACAACACAGGACAGTAATAGTAATAAGGGTGTAAACAATATAACAGGAAGAATAAATATAAAAAATCCTATCTACAGACATATATACAAATAGAAAAATACAACAATCTGGAATAATATCTATAACCTGAGATGAAAAGACGCAGTGCAATAATGACTGTACAAGGAGGTGCAGGTAACGGCATATAATGACAATACTGAATAAATACGTGCAGATATTGGTACCAAAATAAAGTGTCTACTGAGGAGTGTCCAGATGTGCAAGATGCGCAATAAAGTGTGCAGAAAGTGCAATATGTGCAGTAAGGTGTCCTCATGTGCAGATGGATAAAAAGAAATACGATTTAGCATGAGATATGGAGCTATGATTTGTGATTTAACATGAGATTCAGATTCAGTCCTCATCTCTCCTCTGCCCTCTTCTCTCTTCTCTTCTGGCCCCCCTGGGAAGAGTTGAAGAACCTGATATCTCTTGGGACAAAGAATCTCCTAAATCTGTCAGTTGAGCAGCTCTGTGACAGCATCCTGCCACTAAACATGCTCCTCTTGTCCGTGATGATGGTGTGCAGTGGGTGGCCATCATCCTCCATAATGGAGAGCATTTCGTGTAATGTCCTTCTCTCAGCCACCTAAACCACAGAGTCCAGTTCCACACCGACCACTGACGCCACTTGCCTGACCAGCTTGTCCAGTCGCATCTCATCTCTCTTTTTCAGGCTTCCGCCCCTAGCACACCACAGCATAAAAAAGACAGCTGGCAACCATGGTCTGATAGAACATCTGCAGGAGCTTCCTACAGATGTTAAAGGACCTCAGCCTCCTCAGGAAGTAGAGCCGGCTTTGCCCCTTCCTGTACAGGATGTCTGTGTTGGCTGACCAGTCCAACCTATCATCCAGTTGCAGACCGAGATACCTGTAGGTCATTACCCTCTCCACTTCAACCCCCTCAATAGAGACCCTTTGTCTTAATAGCATAACGAAGAAATAATGAGAGGAACAAAGACCCAAAAGAAGAATCTCCCTAACAGCATGAGGAAGAAACGCTGAGAGCAACCAAGACTCAAAAGGAGAACCTCTCAAAGAGCTCCATGGGAGGAACCAAGTGTCGAAAGCAGACCCACACTAAGAGCATGAAGAACAACTGAGATGAACCAAGGCTCAAAAGGAAGAACACCCTAAGAGCATGAGGAAGAAACACTGAGAGAAACCAAGACTCAAACAGAACCCACCCTCACTGCATAGCAGAATGTTTAGTGTGAAACTGGACCCATTAAACCATAACTAACAAACACACACAACCCATAATGTTGAGTCTCCCATTCACAGAAATCCATGTAGGTTGTCAGGTCTTTTTCTCATCATTTTCAGGCCCGCTGCTAACAACAGGATATGTTTGTCTGATCGAGGTTTGCGTTGGGCCGTTTGTGCTGGTGTTAACGTTGAGGGGTTGTGGTGCAAAGCAACTTAAACAGGAGATGACACAGAGTCTGCATAGTATCTAGTCAAAGCATCAGAGCATACTTAATAAGACGATGAGATAAGATATTAAAATAACTTCATCTGTCCTGTAGCGAAATTGGTTTTGGACACACACAAAGTCTATCAGTAAAAACATTCAAATGAACACTCAAAGAACCCTTTGCTGATGAAATAGTTCTTTGCATCGCTAAATGATTCTTCAGATTGATGTAGATTGTGCTGTAGATGATTCTTCCATCTACAACCTTTAACAATAGTAGAACCCTTTTTGGTGCTATATACAGCACATTAATAACCATTTCATGATACAAAGAACCATTTAATCATGCGAAGGGTTTTTCGAGTGTTCTTGATTCTATATAGAACCATTTTCTTTACTAAAAACCCCTAGACGGACCATCTTTTTTAAGCTCCCTCATCTAACACGCTTGATCCACGTAATGAAGATCTTCAGGGGTGTCTGAACATTAGAGTTAGGTTAGTTGGATCGGGATTCTCCAGCATGGTAGATCTCCAGGACCAGGAATGAGCACACCCTGGTTTAAACGCTCTGGACAGTTCCTGTGACTAACACTGTGAACAGTTCTGATTCGGTATGTTTCTCAAGAAGCATTTCACACCAAACCACTCTGAATGACTTTAACCTCTGTTAAGAAAACTACATTCTAACTGAATCCATTGTTTACTGGTCTTGTAGAAGGTCTTCCCCATTTCACATTAGCTTTTCCTGCTTTAGCACATCTGAACCAACTCATCAGCTTCACTTCATGTTAGTATTGAGGAGGTAAATGTGTTTTAGACCTAAAACAAGCAGTCCAAAAGCTCTGAGCCTAGGATTGAAAAAACTGAGAACAGCCTGAACATTTTCATGTAAGCCTCAAAGGAGGAAAGTAGCTCCAGGCGAAAGCATCAAGAAAATGCAGAGATGCTGGATGAGTAACCTGCATAGACCTGCTCACCAGCAAAACCAGCATATGTTGTGTTTGGGATGCTGGTATGCTGTACATTCTTTTGTTCATTTGTTTTTGTTTTCTTTTTCATGGTCCTGCTGTAAAACTAAAAGAGGCCTTAATCAAGCAACGCTGATCCGTAATGTGAGTGCGAGCAAGAGCACAGTTTGATGGATCTTGCACAACACAATTACTGTAGTGGGCCCAGCGTACGTTCACTTGAAAAATGACCATGTGTTCTTTCAAAGAAGCTTGGCCGAATGCCCGGGGTGTATTGCAGATGCACACATAGCGGTATTGCAGTGGTGATGGATGATTACCTCACACCTGGCCATTCTCCACACAGTGCATTAGCCACGGCAGCGTGAACTGTTAGTAACTCGTGACAAATAGTAGTTTCTAAAGGGAAGCGCAACTAAGTGGATTTGCACAAACTTTGTTTCATTCGTCTCTCTCAGGCAGCCCCCGACTAACCAAGTAGTACAGCAATTAATGGATCCGTTTCCTACATTTTTCTTTCTTCTATTTCTTTCCTTCTTATGAGATATTTATGGTTTTATGTACCAAAACCAGCCATAATTCATTATACAGGATTGTTTTATTTCCAATCCTTCTTTATCCCATAGAAATGAACAGGGTGCTTTTTGTTACTGTGCTTTTAAGACTGATATATTTAAATGAACTCTGTTTTGGCTGTTCTGATTGGCCGCCCTGTATTGTAGTTCATTCACAAAGCAGTCCAGGCTGAAACACCCCTTATAACTTTTGAGTGAATGGGAGGAGCTAAACCGCTGTAGACAACAAGCTGAGTTTCTGTGTATGGACTGTATAGGAGCTATATTGGTGTGTGGTTTACTATTGAAAATGTGATGCAATGATTTAGTTCTGACACTGGGTGGTGAGGGCGAGCACAGGTGCATATATGATGGTACCATAGAAGCATAGGGTAGCACCAGGGGTACCACACAGGTTTTTACCAGCAGTTAAGAAGAAATGCAATGGAAACTTTGTTGCTTGCTCAAACTGTGGAATAAACCTCCAATAAGCCTCTGGATATTTTTTCAGTTCCTGCGAAAGCGGTCTACGGTGCTCCAAGTGGTTTTGGTATGTAAGTTTGCCACTACAGACTGTATAGTAACTGTATAGAAACTTCTACAGAAGTCAGAGAGCACCCTTCATGTACTCAATTTCCAGTTAAAAGCAGTTAAGTATTTCATTTTACAGGAGATTTTTCTGAGGACATTAGAAATAAGTTCAAACATGGGACTCCTAACAACCATGCAAGACCTGGCAGACCACCAAAACGGTCCCCATTTGAAAAACAGTACATTAAAAAAAATAACCTGAACGTAATGGAATTATGGAAAGCATTTCCATACAATTAAACAGCATTCTTTCAAAACGACTCAATCACAAACCCACTTGGAGCTTTTTCCAACCCAGGTAGATTGAATTTGATGTACTGGTGTTGATTTACCTTATAGTCGTTCAGCTTATCTTACTAGAGTTGGTTTCTAAGTGGTCACTGTACTGCCATGTTGGCTCAGAGGCCCTCTCAACAATTCAGAATGTGGCAACACCAACGATAACTTAGGCAATTATCCATTACACAAAACTTAAGCATATGCCTGAGAGAATATTGCCTAGGAGGAAAGACAACACACAGATGGTGAAAAACAGAGGAAAGACACACCTAAAGTGTGAATAGATGGAGCCAGGTGAAAAAAAAAAAATTGAATACATGAGATCATCCAAAAAGTTCACTCAACTCAAAACAGTTGTGTAAAATGGCATAATATATGATACATTAAGTACAATGGACTATTTGACTTGATTGACTTTGGCTGATTTCACATTTAGGATAATGATGTTCTTTCACAGTTTTAAAACTGGTCAATTTAATCAACATCCCTGCCGAAAAAAAGTCCATTATAACCAACTATAACAATTAAAACCTGATGCTTTTGCTTTTGAATGGGAATTAACTTAATAGTTACGATTAGAGACGACTAGTTTCCTGTAGTACAAAATGGAGATCCGATTAAGAAACTGAATGAATCGGGTATCAGTCCCAGAACACTTCAACCCATCTGGGAAGCACAAAATACCATTAGTGACTACTGTACACCACCAGGAACCAGCAGAGACTTTTAATGGTTTCTATGATCATACATGAGCCAGTTGTATGTTTTGGGTTTAATTAAAGCTTTCATCTTTGAGAGAGAGGAGGAAATCAAGCTCCACCGACCGAAGGAGCTCAAATAAAACCCTCAAATAAAAAAGAGCATTACTTCATTAACAGGCTACTAGTGGTGCTCTGTAGGCGACCCTACCAGTCTGCAGTGATAGCAGAGGAGGGTAACGTTCAGCAACCTCGCTGCTGGTCTTTAGTTAAATTAGCCTTCAAAGAGGGACAATTATTGATTATCGCCCACCTCTAATTCTTCAGTGAAGCTTCAATGAAGCTGAAGTCAGCTATTCACCAGCTTCTTGTTCGAATTTTCCTGTTCTACCTTAAATGGAGCAGCAGTTATATTCTGGCGCTTCAGGCGTCAGAACTGCTGGACTATTTAGGGCGGAATGGGAAATTTAGCTGGCTAGCTAGCAAGACATCAGCAAACTACTAGCGATTTTTTATGCTTGTTATGAAAAAAAGGACCATAATACATTAAAACAACATTAAACTAAGATAATACAGTGGTTATCTTAATTTATTAACAAAGAAAATACTCACATGTGTGGGTTTCTTTGGTTGCGCACTCTGTTTGGAGTGTGTCTCTGATAAACCTTCATTTGGAGGGCCATGCAGCCCTGACGCTTCACCCTACCCCTCTATTTCATCAAAAATCGGGACACCCCACCCCTAAGCATGAACGGGCAAAACGGAGGAGTAAGGGCTAAGTGGTAGGGGCAGGGGGTGAAATGGGATTGGGCCTATGAGGCTGAATGGATGTGTAGCTGTCAAGAAGCTGTTACTGAAAAAAGGAAACGGACAAAAAAGAAGAAAATCGTCAAACAAAGAAGCTGGCCCAGACCTCAACATCACTGAATGTGTCTGGGATTGCTGAGATCATGAGAAGCAGGAAATTCAACCAAGACTGAACTTTGGAGGTGTGGAAAAATATCCCTGCAAATTTCTTTGAAAAACTGAGAGCAAGTCTCATTAAAAAATGGAAGCTGTAATAAAGGTAAAAGACATGGATAAATAATGTTATATTTAGCCGTTGAGTCTTCTGTGTAATTTTCTGTTAAATATATTTCTTATCTTCCTGATGCTAAAATATAAATAACTTGCGCTTAAAGGCCATTTTACTGGAAATTAAACATAAATGAAGTGTTGCACAGTACTGCATCAAACCCTTTTATTTTAAAGGGAGGAACATTCAGTTTGTCAGGAGGCCTTTAAAGTGTACACTGATTTATGCAGGCTGGATTAGGAGGTGCATCTAATTCCCTGTGAGGGAGTGCAGAGCACTTGTACTTCTGTAGCATGTGATTATACTGTATCTAAACACATGGTGGTGCAATTGATTAATGTAAACTGTGGATAGCGCTTCACAGTTGATCACACATGAATAAAGGTGCAACTAACTACTGTGCATTTAAGAAGTTACATTTGAAACCTTACAAGTTGCATTTATTGCTGGTGTCTCATAACAAGCAGGGCCTGGGCTCGATTCCCCAGACGGGCGACCAGGGTCCTTTCTGTGTGGAGTTTGCATGCTCCCCCCGTGCCCTCTCTTTGCTCCGGTTTCCTCCCACAGTCCAAACACATGCAGACAGGCCAAACGTTGCTATAAAAATTGCCCCTAGGTGTGTCTACCCTGTGATGGACTTGCGACCTGTCCAGGGTGTTTTCTGCCTTCGGCCCAATGAGTGCTGGGATAGGCTCCAGCACTTCCCAGGACCCAGGAGGATAAGCAGCTTAGATGGTGAATGAATGCTTGTGTTTGCGAGTTAAAGAGGAGATATTTTATGCAGAAACATTATTGTTATGATGGAGAATGTGTTGTAGATCAGTGTTTCTCAGCCCTGGTCCTGGAGGCCCACTGTCCTGCACATTTTAGTGCTTTTCCTGCTTTAACACACTTACATGGAACCAATAACAGGCATTTAATGAGCTGATTAGTTGAATTAGGTGTGTTGAGAGCATAGAAAACACTAAGAAGTGCGAGCAGTGGGCCTCCAGGACCAGGGCTGAGAAGCACTGTTGGTTCTATATAGCACATTTTTCTAAAAAAAAACAAGGTTCTATATAGCACCTGAAGGGTTCTTTTATTCTTCCAAGCTTGACATCATACTAACAGAAGAATTCTTTTGATGCTATTTAGAACCATATACAGCACATTCTCCATCAATCTGAAGAGCCATTTCACCACACAAAGAACCATTTAAGCATGAAATGCTTCTATATGGAACTCATGGTTCTAAATAGAACCATTCCCTTTACTAAATAACCCTTGAAGAACCGTCTTTTTAAGCATGTATAAGTTGTTTCAAATATACATCAATGCAAACACAGAATTTTGAAGGGAAAATAAGAATGTAATAGTATATAGTGTATAAGAATTTAATATGTTATATTGTATAAAATATGTTTGTTCTCCCATTGGGTGCGGGAGTGGGATTAAGTTAAAATCAAACTTCCTCACAGGCCACACTTTGGGCAGCCCTGGGATAGCACAGTAGTAAGTCATGACTTCTAAGTGTTAAAGTGTTATATGTTGGTTGTATTGGGGTGGATATCTGATCTGCTCTGACAGTGAAACACCTGTGCTGGTCTCGTTCGCAGTGTCAGATGATCACACTTGGTGTAGCTGAACACGATGCAATTCAATACTCTGTGCTGTGAACCTAATGCAGTGTAAGCACTAGATGGCGCTGTGACGTCGTTTCGGTGTGCTTTATGAGGGGACTCCTCTTTTATTTGCATAATTAGGCTGAAATTATTCCAGTGAACACAGATTACTGTGACATCTGTCTAATGAAAATGTTTATTTTATCTGTTTTAAGATATTTATTGAGGATTTGTTTACTTCAATAACACTGGAGACAGTGGAGTAGTAGTGATTTCTTTAAAAATGTAGAAGCCTATGCTGTAAGAAGTATGTGATATACAGTATAAACAGCAAACGAGAGAGGGAAAGAGAGAGAGAGAGAGAGAGAGAGAGAGAGAGAGAGAGAGAGAGAGAGAGAGAGAGCAAACATTCTCTGTAAGCAGTATTTAATACCTATAACTAGACAATCTCTTTATTGCTAATACGCAGACAAGTGACTTATTCCTCGCTGTTTGCCGACAGCATTAATGCACTGGAGATTAGTCTAATGCTTTTAGTGACCTTTCGCTGTGTTTGTTTTTGTTTTTTTTTATTTTTTCATAACTGATAGCTCGGCTCTCCCATTTCTAATACAGCCCGGAGCCATAGACCCGCACAATTATGCTTCAGACAACATTTACAGGAGGAGTGACATTGGGGGATGACCGACGCTCAAAGCAACCAATCAGACCGCCGCTTTACGGGCGAGGCGGGAATAACGGCTTTCTTTAGCCAATGGAGTCGTTCAGCACGAACCCCTAAACCAATGAGCGATGAGGGGTCACCTGACGGTTTTGTGTATCTGTCGGGCAGAAAACACGAAGAGGAAACCCACGGCGGATCGATACTAAACTCTGAAATAAACAGTGTGGAAGAAGCGGGGCATGTTAAACGTTTCTTTGGGGAAATTTTGATTTTTTTCCACAGTAAAGGTACGTCGGGTTTCTGTTTTCTTCTCTCTGCTTGGTAGAAAAGGTGAACGGTTGAGGTTTTAAACTGCCGCTGCTTGTCAAAAGTAGCCTTACGTTAATGATCCGCTCCGACCGTTAGTGTCCGTTAGGCTAGCTCATTCAGCTAACGCTGCCGAAATTTACTCACGAAATGAAGATTATCTGGCTGTTTTAAATCGATGCCATGTTGTCTAAGGTTATCTCTTGTTACTATACAGGCTCGACGAAGAACTAGAAAAGCCAGAGCCAGTGCCTTGCCTTGTTTACCCGTGTAAATGTTGCCATGTGCCGCCTCTTCAGGATTTAAATTGCATTACTGCTGTTAACGGCGTTGTACAGAGACTCGCGCTTAGCCTCAAAGTCTTTATTTTTAGCTTAAGGCTAAAACAGAGTCACTTTTTACTGTGGTGTGGTGATGCTGCTGATAGAGAGCTCACGGTGTGGCGCCCTGTGCAGAATAACTTATGCTCGGATGATAAATAAATGCACTATGTTTGTGAGTTATGATCCACAGCAGTCACCTCACCAGCTCAGTTCAGTTAGTTACCTGTAACGTTAACGTTCAGGATCATGGTACTGCACACACGTAACAAAGATGGTTCTTCAAGGGTTCTTTAGTAAAGGCAGTGATCCTGTTTTGAACCATGAGTTCTGTATAGGATCGTTTCATGCTGAAATGGTCCTTCAGATTGATGGAGGATGTGTTGTATAGAACGTTTTTGAAAATGGTTCTTATATAAGTTAGCACCAAAAAAGGTTCTTCTCTTGTTACAGTGTCAAGTTTTTTGGTGTTATATAGAACAATTTTCAAAATGTTTCTACATTCAACCATGTACCCCACGTTCTCCATCAGTCTGAAGAACGATTTCACCATGCAAAGAACCCTTTAAGCATGAAATGGCTCTATATAGAACTCATGTATTTAAATAGAACCATTGCATTTGATAAAGAACCCTTGAAGTACCATCTTTCTAAATGTTTATCTTGCAGAAAAAGATTATTCCATTGTGAGAGCCAACACCCCTTGTTAATGAGTCATGTTTGCTTTTGGGGAGATAGGGCCACGACTGTTTTACTTTATGGTTGGGTCAATATTAGTATAGTTGTTGTTTGATAATCCGGGTCTGAAAGGCTGATCTGTGGTTTGATAAATGGGTTTGTCATGGGGAACTGTTCATCCTTTTTATGCTCCAGGGTTGGCATATGCTTGCTGGCTGAAGATAATCCTTTTACTCTAGTCTACACCCCCACACTTCTTTACCCCAGCTCTCTCTGTCACTCGCTCACTTCCCCATTTACACCTTCTCTCTCTTTCTGTGTTTTGCCACCATTTCCTCTTAGGCAATTCTGTCCAATTGATTCACATCATTGCTGACCTCCTGTCATATTCCTCAGACCTTCTGTGTTGCTCCTCTTTGCCTTCTCCCCATTTGACACTCCTCTCTCTTCTTTTCCCCTCAGATGCAGTTCATGCTGCTCTTCAGCAGGCAAGGGAAGCTGCGCCTGCAGAAGTGGTACGTTCCTCTGTCCGATAAGGAGAAGAAGAAGATCACGCGAGAGTTGGTACAGACCGTCCTGGCCCGAAAGCCCAAGATGTGTAGCTTCTTGGAATGGAGGGACCTTAAGATTGTTTACAAGAGGTCAGTGAGGGGTCAGAGGCTTAGTGGGTTGTGGCAAGATTTATCAGGTTCTCTTAACAGAGCGATTCTCATGGTTTAAGAAGTAAAGTACATACTTGCCAGAAAGCACAAAATGTGCTGTTTAATTAAATTCAGACTGGGAGGTATATTGGGCTAAAGAGCAGTTAACTGTGAAATTGCTCAAATGTCAGATGTTTTAAACCTCAAATAAACAGCAACAATACACAAAGTCCTAAATTATATAAATGTTTTAGTGGTGGCTTCAGAGCTTCCTAGAAATCCTTTCTTTATTTCTGTTAACAAGCTTTTGTTTTTCTTATTTTTCTTCAGCTTCCTTCACACAATATTTTGATGCTATATTATATTTTGGCATAATGAAGGCAACTGATGAGTGTCAGTTGTAAAGACTGGCTTGAGAGGAGGAGCTCTTTTAAATGTTCAGAAATAGTGCCCTTCACAGAGTTATTTGTTCATAATAATACAAAATGAGCTTGATACAAACAGGGCTTGGGAACAGAATAGAAAATCAATAAGTCTGTTCTGAGCGTAACTATTATTTCAGCATTTCCATTTTAACTCCAACATAACCTTCCTAAACCAGTAAGAACAAAATGTAATGGTTGTAAAATGTAAAATGACAAAAATAATTTGTATTTCTGGATTTTAATAGCATTTTGAAATGAGGCACCACTGGTTCTTTTTTGTCAGTTCCAGCTTATCAAGTGTCAGAGAAAGTAAACATTGTGACATATTGTGTATCTTGAAAAGTTTTCTTAAGTATCGTGATACTGTATTTCTGCCAGCCATATCACCCACCTCTAAAGCTGTTAGACCTAGCAGTTGCTTTTGTACTGATATGTCGACACACACAGGCTATGGAATTTTACTCTTTGTGAATCAGTGAATTTCTTCATCATATAACTATGAAATAGCCCATAATAATATTCAGAAGGTTGCTGTGATAGAATAAGTCAAAATGCAATGTTACACATTGTCAGTAGGATTAGTGATGAGTGATTCTCATCTTAAAAATGCAAAGATACGCTAGCTGGATAAATGGTTTCTAGAATTATGACACAAACAAAGTCAAATGAGAGTGTTTGAAAGGCACAGATTACATCCAGAGCTATTGCCTACTTATAGATCATGATTACAGAATGAATCTATAGCAAATCTAAGCACACAAATACCGAATTAATGCCGTATAAATCTTGTAAAATGATACACTGAAGAAAATCACAGATATACTGTTGATTCAGAAACATCTGGGAATTTGGAGGTAAGACATAAGTAATAATCTAGTGGGCTAGATTATAAATGTTTCTGTTCCAGAGCAGGTAAGAATGATTATGCTTTCAGTTGCGTTTTTGTTCCTAGCACAATACCGTTCCTTTCATTCCTTTTACCAGTTTGGAGCCTGTTAGAATATCAATGGTTTATTGGTTATTTTCATCATTATGATCGATCTGTGGAATATGAGTTGGGCCCTCATTCACACATTCCTTATTTGAACACACCTTTAGCTTGGTGATGCTGTTGGCACACCTGCAGCTGCTACTTGGAAGGGTCTGCACATTCGGGGTGGACGATAAGGCATAAAAATAGAACATCATGATACTTAAAGATATTTAACAGATTCGCAACAATTAGCATCACAATATTTCATTTTTTCTGAGATTTAGTAAGTTGGAATCATTTTTTTTTAAAGCAGTGCCACTTCTAAATAGAGCTGGGTGATATGGCCAAACATGTTATCACGATAAACAAAAATAGTATCATTCGATATCGATACATACCGCGATAAATGTCAAATCATTATTTCTTTCAAGGTTGAAGGCTGATTTTTGCTCCTGGGTGGTTAATCGCTGTTTTAAACTATCCTTTATGGTCGGAACACGACAAACACTCACCAAACAGTGGAACATTTCACAAATCTGTCGTGGGAGAGTGGGAGAAAGTGTCTGGTGAGCTGTTTTTACCAGCTGGAAAAGCATGGCTATTTTGTAATAGTCATTATTATAGTCACATTATTATATTATAATTATAGTCATAATTAAAGAAAGAAAACATCATAGTATGACATCACAGTATTCAGACACCAGCTAGCGACGACTGGATTTCTCTATCCTATTGTAGTAGTTTAAGTGGTGAACCGCAAATTATCTAACACCAGACAAACAGAGTCCTCTTTTTAGGTACGTTTAAACTGAAAGCGGTGATGACGGAGCGCTGCTTCAAGTTAGCCAGCTGCTAAAAACAGCTAGCCTGGAAAGCTAGCGCTCTCCCGCTCTCCAATGCCTCACAGCTTCCTCAGTTTACTTTCCTTTAAATCAGGGCTGTAACTCACATGAACCCACTTCTTTCTTTCACTTTCGTTGCTTGGGAATGCACTAATACTTAAATATGACTGTCCGAGCGCTGTACCAGCGCTTTAGTTGTGAGGATTGTGATTTAACGCTGCTAAAGCTGGTTAGGAGGTTAGGAAAGAGGTGAGTTCGCTGTAGGACAGTACAGTTACACCACTGACCTCGTCACTCACACTCGGTCACAGGAGAACAGATCGCCGGTCGCTCCACTCAAACAGGGAATGTGTAAACCCTGCGTTTCAGCCGTTGCTAAAGACTCATCTTACTCGTGGCCCCCTCCCTCTCTAATCATGTCGAAAAACTCGAAGTGCGCCCTCTCCTGGCGACAGTGGAATAGTGTCGCTTTCCTTGCAGTAGAAAACGCCACCAAGGCTTTCACTAGAACGTGGAGGTGTGAGAATGGTGTATTATATCGAACATTTATCGAACATGTCGTATCACTCTATCGAGAAAAAGTTATATCGCGATAATTATTGTTATCGTTTTATCGCCCAGCCCTACTTCTAAAAAATACTATCAAAAGCTGAGTACAATGAGTATCATTCAACATATTATATGCAGCACTGCACTAAATCTGATTGTTTATAATGAAGCATGCAGTTGGTCAGTGTTATAGAAGTACTGATGACATTTACAATATGCCCAGAAAAACGTACTGTGACATAATTGATCACAGTACTGTTAAAATTTCGTCATGCTGTCTACCCCTGCTGCACATTTTGCTTCTGTATGAGATCTCTATGACCTGAATTGAGCCCAAAAGAGTTACCAACTTAACCAGCAGAGTTACTGATTGAGCTCTTTTCGACTGCTCATGTGCTTTCTGAGGGGATGAGAACGGTGGCTTTCTGCTTTTCCCAGATGTTTAATTCATATCTGTCTGCTCATGATTGTGTGCATGGGGATGTGTAATTGAATACATTTGGTTAAAATGAGTGAGTCTGTGTATCAGTGACATGGCCCTGCTTTCTTATGACTTCCCTAGAAGCTGTCTGAGCCAGGCCTTCTCTCTCATGTACAGTGACCTGTGTGGTGGTGAATAGCTAATCTCTCCCACATTGACCTCCTCATTGTCCTGCAGAGAGGAGTTCCAAGTTAAGGAAGGAATGAAAGAGATTGTTCATCTGATTGGACTGTGCAGAGGGAAGAAATTAGAATATTTAATGTAGGCCAGTTGCCATGGTAGCTGATGGGGTTGGCTGAGGGAACAGGATGGAGAACCACAATGACCTGCGAATGGACATACAGACAGACAGATAAATAGACAGGCAGGTCTGACAGGAAAGGGACAGAAACACATACATGCATAAAAATACTGAAAGTGCTTGCTCACACTGCTGCTGTGCACAGTAGTCTCTGACCTCGCTCTACTAAACAATAGCAAAACATGCTCTGCAAGCTGTCGCAGGCAAGCAAAGGTCAGCTGACTACCTGACAACCTGCCTCTGTGTGAGAATAAAAGAGTACATGTATAAGATGTTATGGAGATGAGTGGGATATGAATATAAAAATGTGGAGTCCTATGTAGGCGCACAATAAACAAAAGCCGTGTCTCAAAGCTACAGATGAGGTCGAGGTAGGGGAATCCTTCCTAGCACTGATATACAAAGAAATGTAAGCAACACAACATCTTTAGATCTTACATTAAATTAAAATATACAGTTTGTTACGTTTTGTTACAGACTCTGATGCCACAGCTTCTTACCACTTGTGGCCACCATTTCCACCATTTTTCAAATTGTTTCAAGCTTTGTGTGAAGGATTGTGGGTGACTAAAGTTCTCGAAGGAAACAACAGCTGCGTCCTTTAATTTCTCACAAATGAAAGGCCACATATAAAGGATCCTGCAAAACGAAAGAGCCTTCAGCGATGCAACGGCCAAGAAACGCAGCCATCCTTGACTGCATTCTTAGTTTTTGAGACACTATTAATGTTTTAAGGGCCCATGTTCTACAATTTTCTTGTAGTTTATTTATTTATTTGTCCACTATTTACTTTTGTGTCTTTTTGTTAATGCTGTCAAATGATTAAATAATCAATTGTGATTAATCTCATTAGTTTGTGTAGTTAATTGTAATTAACTGCATTTGTCTTATTTGCTCTAATTTGACTCTTAAGAAAGATTTTTTTCAATGGAAAAAGCAGTGTGTTTTGTTATAGCCAAACAAGTGGACAAATAAACTTCATCAGAATATACTTAACACTGTCAATAATTCAAAATGAACCTGATCATAAAATCATGTGAAGACAGAGTGAAAATGAAAACAAGATGAACGCAGTTTCCAGTTTTCCAGCAAGAGCAACAGCGGCTGCATGTCTCAACCAATGAGTGTATACTATATCATATACACAGTCTAATGTTTTAACTCCTTCACAGTTGTAGCCCTCTTGCTCTTATGCCTCTATGTACCTTATGTTTTGAGGGGAACTCTAGTTTTCTTTGCAATTGGCTGTACAGAACAAACTATTAATTTATGCTCAAATTCTTAGGGATGTAGGAAATGAGATACTTTAGCTACTTCATTCATATACATTTGCTTCAGCCAGGAACAGCACAGCATTTAATCCACATCTTCCACTCCACTAATTGTGATATAGACTGTCTGCAGTAACAACAGTCTTTATCACTTCAGC